AACATCAAGTAAGACTAATTAATTGAATTGGAAATTATATGTCGTAGAATAGTTCATGTAATGTTCAAAAATGATGTTTCATGCCATCTCAAAACTATTTGAATCATGATTTCTGAATCTCATTTTTTTTGTATATAATTTGCTTGACAGCAATCTATTATTTTATTAGTAAAGCTTTTGATTTCCTTTGTTTGTTTTTCGACCCATCAGCCAAAATTCTTTGCAAATATATTCATTCGAACGAAATTTTTTCTGAACATGCGGTGAAAAAGAAAAATTATGCAAATAAAGGTCTTATTAACACTTCTTCTTACACCACATTGCTTTAAAATGAAAACCTCATTTGAGACTCATTTATCAGTATTATTAATACTTTTTATTTCAGGATTTGCGTTCAAATGATTTGAATGTTTTTTTATGATGTGCTAATTATGTCAATTTAATATGAAAATTTGTAAGTACATGCCCGAGCAGAAGACAAGGTAAGGTTGTTTTTAGGTATGGTTGGGGAGGTCATGACGGGCAAGGCGCAAGTGGCAATAGCTCCTCTCACAGTGACCACGGAGAGGTCCAAGTTTGTGTCCTTCACCAAACCATTCATGTCCTCTTATCTCGGATTTGTGGCCAAAAAACCAGGTGATTATATTGCTATCGGATATGAGTAAATTTAGTCCAGTTCGGCAGTTGTAATTGTTAACAAAGATGCAAAAGCGTTTCGTGAAATTATTTCAATTATTTATTGACAAAAAATAGAGTTAGGGGAGATTGAAAATTTAATTTGGTCGACCTAAAAATAAAAAAAACCCAGAGAGCTTCCCCACCCAAATAAACCAAATTAGTAAAATAACAACATAATCACCAAAAGCAATGAAAAAATAACCAATTGAACAATCTCCATAATGGTCCGCGAAAATCGTTAATCCACCCCTGAAATATATATTGAATGTGATTAGTGTACGAGGTGACCAATACAGACGTAGTATTGAACATGCTACAAGTATTCAGCCTGGCTGTTTGGATTCTCATCTTCATCTCATTCTTTCTGATTGGCGGAGGCCTCTGGCTAGTCGCTAAGCTCATCGGAGATGAAGAGTTATCCAGAGTTGAAAACGCAGTTCACTACATAGTCGCAACACTTCTTTTTCTGACGCCTTCGGTTCAGCCGAAACACGTCGTCACCCGAGTCTACACGTACTTGTGGCTGTTGTTCCGAGTCACAGTCTTTATACTCTATGTCGTGTTCCTTTATAAATGGATGTCGGTTGATAGGTTAGTATTAATCCATCTCTTCGGCTAACTCCCCCCTCCCCTGAGACCCTAGTAACGACTTACCATCCTAATAAACAATAGCCCGGTTGACGTCCAAACAAAAAAATTCTTATCATACAATTTTCATACAAAATTTAAAACATGTTTTACGGATTTTTGGTACATATTTTTTGTCTATTCGACCAGGGGCGATCTAGAATTTTCTCGAGGGGTGGGTGTTGCAGATCTTCAAAAAATGTAGAAAAAATTGTCCACCTTTTTTTAGGTCGACCAAAGTGATTTTCTGAGGTCTTCTAAATCACTAAAATTACCCCACTTTGAGCAATCTTTCTGCGCCGCAGGCAAAATTTTGAAAAAACAGGCCAAAAAAAGCGTTTTAGGCAACTTTTGGAAAATTTTGACCAAAAAAATATTGTGAAACCCCTCAAAATTAGTGGTGTCCTACAATTTAATACCAGCCAATTTAACACCGTACACCGTCCACAATTTAACACCGTACACCGTCCGCAACAATTTAAATCCTATTTTCCAGTTTAACACCGTACATTTTAACACCTAGTCATTTCACTGCTAAAATTAATGCTGTGGGGTATGAACTCCATATCCCAACTCTTATCGCACCAAAGTTAATCCTGCAATCAGTGCACACATCATATTGAAATCTGATGCGTGCGTTAATCCCCCCCCCCCCTAAAAAAATCCGCTGGTGTAATCGACGCTTTAAAAATTTTCTAGTCATCAAAAAATGATTTCATTTAGTGGATGAAAAAATGCTTTTCAAACAAATTTTCGGATGTATTTCATAATTTTTATATAGTTTAACGGTTAAGCCTTGTAAACTTCGTACCTAGTAACGAATCTCTCCCCTTCAAAGTGGAACCTGATCTAAACTACATTTTATTATTGGATAAATTAGATATTTTACCACTGTAAAGTATTTAATATTAACCAATCATAATCCATCCAACTAACAACCCACTTATTTGTAAGTGCTGAAATTACTTGTAATTTCAGCACCAGAGAGATTTGAATTTAACTTAGAAATTAGTTGCCTCTCCAAGAGAACTTCAGCTGCCGCAATAAGCCAGTATACTCTAGATCTATTGAGCCTAGCAGAGACTAGTTAAACACCCTGAGACTAGTAGATATAAGAGTAAGATTAGGATCGGTATTAGACTAAGAAGTTGCACGAATCTATCCGGCCGAAAATAAGATAGCGTGACGAGCAGACGGTGTACCCTATCCGAAATTACTCTATGAGTTACCAACCCATCTTAACTCATCTGGTGCGACCATAAGTCTCGAATAAGACCTTAATAGCTTAGAACTAACCAAAAATAGATTAGAATTTAGACAAAACATTTTCAAAATGTTACACGATAATAACTTAATTGAAATGTCTCTACGACGAATTTTCTATTTCTTGGTTCCGTTAAAAGTTATATAGGTGACAAAAAGCATTAACAAAAAGTAGAAGCACTTGAATAAAAATAAGTGAACTCAAGTACTCTTTGAGAGCTTAGAGGATCGATTTTCTATGAAGTTCACCTTGATCAGCACCTGATGATGAGCCCTTTGGCATTGAATCTGATTATCATCCTTGAATAATTTTTAAACTAATTGATTTTAATTTTGTTCTTGTCCGACCGACCACTTACTCCTCATGAATCACTTAAAGTACAGAGCGAATCTTTAAAGTTCAGAGCGATAAGTTTCTCGTCGAGTAATGCGTTAATAAAGAACAAATAGCTTGCCTCAATTTTCCTTGGTATAATTTTTGAGCCTGATTAATTCACAGCGTATGCGTCAATAGAACAAAATATATTGCAAATTGATCGAAATATATACGCTATCTTCACTGTCAACCGAAGGAGAGTTAATGGCTTTGGCGCCAACTCTTCTCAAAAGGAAAGAGAGGAGGGATTTATGGCGAGAGTAGGTTTTCCTTGTGGCTTTAGGCATCTTAAAGGAAGTTTGCAGAGTTCAAGATAATTTTAAACCCTTTCAATCGAAATTCGATCTTAAAACACAATTTTATTTAGTTCACTCAGTGGCTTCATTTTTCCGCTTTTGGTCCGACCAATTTTAAAGACCTGAACAGATTCAACAAGAAAAGATTTTTGAGGACTTAGGTCATTTTTTTGGTTGAAGATTTTTGCTAAGAACTTCACCTTATTTTTGTAGCTCATTTTTTCATTTTTCTTTTGCCAACTGCACAAAATTGTGTGCAATTGTCAAATAAAAAATTTTTGAGGATAATATTGAGGGAATACATGATTTACTAGAACATTCTGTTTTATCTTGAAACCGTCTCCTTTCAACAAAGTTTATCTAAGTATTTATTTAATTTAAAAATCTTGCTGTTTTTTGCACGACATTTTGATTTACAAAAAAAATACCAAAAATTTTAACAAAAATTAGTAATTACGGGCAGTTGCCAAATATAAATTTTTTGAGTATGATATTGCTGGGAATACATGATTTACTAGAACAATCTGTTTTATCTTCAAAATTTTTCCTTTCAAAACAAAATTTATCTCGTTAATTTTTTAATTAAAAAATTTTGATGTTTTTGCAAGACATTTTGATTTCAAAAATACCAAAAATTTTAACAAAAATTAAAAACGTCGGCGAATGAATATTGAGCTTTAGTTGCACAGCAAACACCTTTTTGTTTAGATTTTCGGGGAAAATAGCAAAACAAGACTGCTCGTATCAGGGCGAAGTCTTGAATGGTCCGACTGATTTTTAATGTCAATGAAGTAGTTTTCATTTAAGAAAAACTAAAAACACTTTCAAAAAATGGAAAAAAAAAAAGTTTTTATTTGAGATTTATTTTGAAAGTTATCTCGCCAAACACTACGTAAAACAAAAAGTGATATCTTTTGCATGATGCAAAGTAGTAAAAAGATCAAATAGCAATGCTCATTTCATTAGGAAAGATTTCTAGAACGGATTCACTCTCCGTTTACATGGTATTACCAGAAATATATATCGAAGACTACTTGTCACAAAATGGCAATCTGTACAACTCCATAACTTTACAAAAAATGAATAGATGAAATATTTTTTGTTCCGACTTTCGAAAAAAACGGAATATTTATGATTGGTGTGGTTTTTTTATTCAGTCAATTTTCGGCGATCAAAATAATAGTTTTTGACAAAAAAAAATATTTTAAACTCCATTGAAGATATTGACTCTCTGAAATCAAATATAAAAAATACTTTACCTCCGATAATTTTTTGCAAAGTTCTGGGAGTTTGAAAAACGACAATTTAGCCATACTCTGGAACAATTTATGCGCGTCTTGAAGATTTTATCATATTGCTGAAAGCGTAATGCGAATTATTTATGGGTGGCTAATTATCCCGCACAACAAAAACGTTCCAAGTTGAATTGAGGCTGGCTAATCGGTCGTATTGATTTTGTACAATTCAAGACTATTTTTGATCTCCGATTTTGTCCAACATTTATAGTTTTCAATTTTTCTTTTCTCAAAAACTATTAGATATAAGATAATTTTAAACCCTTTCAATCGAAATTCGATTCTAAAACACAATTTTATGTAGTTCTCTCAGTGGCTTCATTTTTCCGCCCTTGGTCAGACCAATTTTGAAGACCTGAAAAGGTTGAACATGAAAAGATTTTTGAGGACTTAGGTAAATTTTTTCGGTTGCAGATTTTTGTTAGATACTTTACATTATTTTTCTAGCTCATACTTTCAATTTTTTTTTGCCAACTGCACAAAATTACGGGCAGTTGCCAAATATAAATTTTTTGAGTATGATATTGCTGGGAATACATGATTTACTAGAACAATCTGTTTTATCTTCAAAATTTCTCCTTTCAAAACAAAATTTATCTCGTTAATTTTTTAATTAAAAAATTTTGATGTTTTTGCAAGACATTTTGATTTCAAAAATACCAAAAATTTAACAAAAATTAAAAACGTCGGTGAATGAACATTGTGCTTTAGTTGCAGAGCAAACACCTTTATGTTCAGACTTTCGGGGAAAATAGCAAGACAAGACTGCTCGTATCAGGGCGAAGTCTTGAATGGTCCGACTAATTTTTAATGTCAATGAAGTAGTTTTCATTTAAAAAAAACTAAAAACACTTTCAAAAAACGGAAAAAAAATAAGTTTTTGTTTGAGATTTATTTTAAAAGTTATCTCGCCAAACACTACGTAAAGTAAAAAGTGATATCTTTTGCATCATGCAAAGTAGTAAAAAGATCAAATAGCAATGCTCATTTCATTAGGAAAGATTTCTAGAACGAATTCACTCTCCGTTTACATGGTATTACCAGAAATATATATCGAAGACTAATTGTCCCAAAATGGCAATCTGCACAGCCCCATAACTTAACAAAAAATGAATAGATGAAATATTTTTTGTTCCGACTTTTGAAGAAAACCGAATATTTATGATTGGGGTGGTTTTTTGATTCAGTCAATTTTCGGCGACCAAAAATAGTTTTTGACAAAAAACTTTTAAACTCCATTGAAGATCAAATCTTAAAAAAAATATTTTACCTCCGATAATTTTATACAAAATTCCGGGAGTTTGAAAAATGACAAATTAGCCATACTCTGGAATAATTTATTTATGCGCGTCTAGAAGATGTCTTTCATAATGCTGAAAGCGTAACGCGAATTAATTATGGCTGGCTACTTATACCGCACAAAAAAAAACGTTCCAAGTTGAATTGAGGCTGGCTAATCGGTCGTATTAGTTTTGTACAATTCAGGACTTTTTTATTGATCTTCGATTTGGTCCAACATTTATAGTTTTCAATTTTTTTTCCCAAAAACTATTCGATATGGATTAATGGGCACTCGCAACATTCAGGGCTTTGCCCTAATATAAAAGCTATCTTGTTAAATTTGAGCTCAAAACAACAATACTTTTCATGATATGGATGAATCTGTCAACAATGGCTAGCTTTAAAGTCTAAATTTGTCTGAAGAAAAAAACACCCGAGCACAAATATGTGGTCATTTTCTTCCAAGATCGCAACAAAAATCGCCCGATCAAATTTTCCATCACGTCGAGGTGGTGTTTTCATTCATACCAGTTTTTAGAAAAATTTATCAAAGAATGTGACAGAACGATTGAAGCGTAAAGTAGGTGGTAAAACTAGTAGATTAATATTCTGAAAGTATTCACAAAAAGTTTTTTAAACAAAAAGGTTTTGATCGAAGTTAAAGGACAGTCAGAACACTGAAAGATCTGACCTGATTTGAGGGGTTTTGTTATACTTAGTCTCAATTAAATTATATCGAAGAAAATGGTGCTCTGGAAGTTTTGCACAAAGCTTAGATATGAAACACGACTGATTTATTGGATGATTGAACTCAATCAAATGAACATTGGGACGAACCTAAGAAAAAAATTTAACCATAAAATCGAACACAATTATTTTTCATCGATGTTTCGCAGGAACTTTTTGTTCTTAAGTTTTGGTAACTTCGTCATGCGAGATGTCATGCAAAACGGCTGTAATAATCATTTTAATTTTTTTATTCTCAAGCACGACATGCTTCAAGAAAAAAAAAGGTTATTGAATATTTTTATATTAAAAAATGAAAATTGTGTCAATTATTGTTTCAGACTAAATGCAATAATTCAAAAACATGAAATTTTCATAAGTTTATTGAAAAAATACATGTTTCAAGATTTAGTTATCAAAAAATCAGTACTGAAACAATCTGAACAAACATCAAAAGAACAAGACTGCTCGTATATCAGGGCAAAACCCTAAATGTTCCGACCGTCCCTTAATTCTCATCGAATAGTTTTTGGGAAAAAATATTGAAAACCTATCAAGTTTGGACAATATCAAAGTGCGAAATGTTGAGTCATGGGAAATTAATACGACCGATCTGATCAGCTAGCATCAATTCAATTTGGAACGATTTTGTTGTGCGGGATAATTCGCCAACGAATAAATAATTCGCATTATGATCTCAGCAATATGAATAAATCATTCAAAGTGCGCATATCTTAGTCCAGAATATGGTCAATTTAGCAATTTTCAAACCCTCAGAACTTTACAAAAAAACAATTAGAGTAAAATATCTTTTTAAATTTGAACCCAGGGAGTCGATATTTTCAATGATGTATTAAAAAATTTGTCGAAAACTACTATTTCGATCGGCGAAATTTCACAGAATAAAACAGAATCACACCGAGCATAAATAGACCGTTTTCTTCGAAAGTCCGAACAATAATGATTTAGATTTGTTTCCAAGCAAAGATTCAGTGGCGGGTGTAATGCATACAAACTGAAGTTGCTCAGAAACGTTTTTCCTCGAAGGATTCATATTGAAGCATAAAATTGAAGCATAAAACCTCCTTTTTTTCCTGTTTCAGGGTCACCAGAGAGCCGGCGGTATGTGATGATCAAAATAACATATGTGAGATAACTGCTATCTTTATCATAAAAATCGACGGCTGTCCCATATACAAATCGACAGCATCCCTCCGATTTTTGTTTTGAGCTTTTGTCACAAGACAAATATGTAGCTAAATATTAAGGCTAATATACGTTTTTAGGCAGCGGATTTAAGGGGGGGGGCGGCGGGGGCAAAAGCCCCCTCCTCAGGAATTTGACCCCCTGTCGACCCTTTGTGCTATTTTGAGAATCTATTTTTGCTGACGGACCCCAAAATTTTTCTAAAGGCACCTTGGGCGCCAATATATACTAATTTTGAGAGGGGAGCGCGCGCCGAAAAAACGCGATTTTTTGGTCGAAATTTTCCAAAGTGCCTAAAAACGCCTTTTTGGCCTTTTTTTAAATTTGCCTGCGGCGCAGAAAATTTGGTCAAATTACGGTCTTAATAATGATTTGGTTTGACCTCCAGAAATCCGCCCCCCCCCCCTCGAGAATTTCCTAGATCCGCGCCTGCTTTTAGGTATATTTGGTGCAAAAATATTTTTTTCGAGTATCTGCCATTGAGATGTAATAATTCGCAAAATGGGCGAATAACAATGATCATCGCATGTCTGCGGTCAATCAGAAGATGAGGAACTTCGACGACTTGGCGATGGCAGCAAAAGAAGGCCGAGTCAAGGTCCTCATGCCTCGATATGGTGCGACTGAGAAAACATTCAGCAGCTCGCAGCAAGAGATATTTGAGATCATCTATGATAACTTCTTGATAAATGCCCCCGAACAACCGTCCATTGAAATGGTACACGCGGACAAGAGAAATGTTTACATAGGCGAAATGCCGATGCTGAAATACGAGGCTAACAAGCCCCCCTGTGACTTGTATGTAACGGGGGGTGACCATAAAAACTCACTGCAACCTTTGAGAGGATACGCAATCGCTGTCAACAAGGTAAACCTTCATTTTGAAAAAGCCTCCTTGGCGGTGAGAACAAGCTGCTTGAGCTGTTTTTCCTTCAATATCTGCCTTATATAGGCATCAGTTTTTGGTGTAACGAGAGATTTTGAAAGGCTAAGAATGAAGACAAAATATATTTGCTAAGGCCTAATGGTCAGAATTTCAATTTTTGTATCAATCCGATCATGAAAACCAAAAAAATGCTCGCCAAAAACTTGCAGGTCGGAAGGGGAGGGGAGAAAAAGAGCCTTTGCACGAATAATAAGAGGTTGCATTCTCAATATACTGATAAAAACAAGCTTAGTTATTCATCCCCTTCTCGCAGTAATACTGCAACGACACAGGTACTTCATTTTAAATCAATTGGCAAATTTAAGGTGGAAAAACTTATTTGATCTATTTGAAAATACAGAAGAGACAAAATTGTTCTTTTTTAATTCGAAGTGAGAATAGATTGAGACCCCACCATCCGTACAAAAAGTACCAGTTTCTCATAACACTCGTTGTGCCCTCCGCTTAAAAACCACAATCCGCCCCAGATTAAGTTGAATGGAATATAGTAAAAACAATCGGTCGTGTTTCTAGCAATTATTCTTATGTTTTTGCTGCATGCCAGGAAGACGTTGATTTGTTCAACAAAGTGTCGGACGCTATGAACTTTCTGGAGGATATGGGGGTGTTCTTGCACCTGGAGAGGAAATATTTCGACCAACAGTTTTGTTCCTCCAATGAGATCCCTGGCATCTCGGGTAGGCAAATGATGTCATTGGTCCCGGCAAGGTCAATTTTCCTGCTAGTCCTGATTATAATTCTCTACGCAATTGCTGTGTTCGTATACACCAAGGCATTCGGAACTTCCCAAAGGTCGGGAGGGGAAACTAAGCAGACTGAAATGGATCCGAAAGGCGGGGATATCGAAAAAAACTCGAAAACGTCGAATGAACATGAAGCTTGAATATCTATTTCATGAAGGTAAAAAATGTGGTAAATGCATGAGAAACAATTTCGCGTGTAATAAAATCAATCGCTCGCTCATAGGTATGCTGCAAACTTGAGTTATTTAAATGAAAAAAACTGCATGCGTGCTTGAATATTTGAAAACTTTGTATCATTTAAGAATGACAATTTAAATTTTTTTAGTAATTATTTTTTACATTGTGTATTCTGTATTAATGAGCTTTCGTATTATCTTGCAGTGACAAAAACTATACATGATGTCCCAAAAAATCCTAACTGAATTATCTCGACAAGTACTTGGTCGATTATCATGAAAAATTGCACACACACCTAGCAGCCCGAGATACACATTGAGTACTGACCTATAAACAATTGTTGAACGTGGGAACAATCTACCGTGTTTTTTCAGTCTACAGAACAATGTCACAAGTAAATTGTTTCACATTTTTCAGAGCAAGTTCGAAAAACAGATTTTGTAAAATATTTCAATCATAGGTGAACTTGTAGAGGTTTGTACAACCCTTGACCTGCGCACCATTTAGTTGTAGCTCATTTTGTCATCCCAGATCTGCTTTGTTTTCAGTGTTTTTTCAACACCGCAAATTCTTATGCAATTTTATTTTTCAGATTGTCTAAAGATGCCATAAAGGGCCCGATAATGTTGGCAGTTCCAGTAATGACTGATCCAGCTTTAGGACAGCCTTTTTATTCTCTAAACCCTTCACGGGTAAAGTTTCGTCCTGATGGCGAATAATATCGAACCTTTTGAGTTGTCATACCTCTGTGTATGAGCTTCTATTTCTCGAAACCGAATGGTTACAATCAATAACTGTTACAATCAATATATCATCTAAGTATGCGTAAGTGTTGGTACAGTTCGTAAGGGTTAAATCAACTGCTTTTTGAAATTCAGCTGGCATATCCGTGAGACCATAAAATCCAGTTTGGAATTGGTATGTCCCAGTGGCGTTGCCACCAATAAGACTGAAATTGCACTGTTCTCTGGTCGTCTTGTCCAGAGGGATTTTTGAGCATGCGTAACGAAGATCGAGTGTCGAAAACAGTGTTTGTTTGGACTTGTCTGAATTTACCACTTGTGCGATATTGTCCAGCAGCAGGTCAATATTGGGCATTTGATATTTATTTTTGTGGATAAATTTGTTGATGTTCTTAGAATCCAACTCTAGTTTAACTGTTCGATCCTTTTTTTTACTGTTATAACAATTGGGCTAATAAATTATCGATCCGAACATTTATCTAACTTGATAATGTTTTTGATCTATTAGCTTGTTTAAATTCCCTTCAACTCGTTCTTGGAGGTGTAGGGGAATACGACGACCGTTTTGTTGAATTGGGATGAAGTCTTTGTTGAATTGGGTTCTCATCATATGGTATTTCGATTTCCCAATACGTATACACAGTTGCTGGAAATTATCTTTGACCCATTGTTTAATCTCTGGATCGGATTATTTTTGTTCGCGAACGTTTAACACATTTTGATTTTGTTTTTCCTGAATCAACTTGATGCCGATTCGTTGTAATATGTTTCGTCCTATGATGTTTGCTTGTTGGTTATCAACAATGATGAACGGAGCTGTCTCTATTTTCTAGCCTTCTGATTCAACTGTTATTATCAGTCTTTCGTTCGAGTTGATGTGTTTCACCATTGTAACATGCCAGATTTCTAGCGCTGTCTTCAGGTGGTATACATTTAAATAATGCTGACTTGTCGTTTTGTTGTATCCGCCGTGCGGTTTTTTCATTTAAAAAGGACATTGGACTACCCGAATCGGCGATAGCGAATAGCTCTTCTGTATTCGTTTTTAATTTAACAATGTGACCGTTTAGGTCATTTTCTGACAATGTACTTGTATTTTTTATTTCGAAGGATTCAGCGATTGCCATAACCGAGAATTTGTCTATTTGGTAATCATCCCATCCATTGTTTGAGGTGAACTCAGCGAATGCTACAGGATCATTTTCAGTTTCTAGTCTTTCTGTTTCAAGTTCTTCCTGTTGTTCCTCGTGTCGGTCTTCTAGATAATTGACATTTGTAGATCGAAAAACTTTTCCAAAATGACCCCGTTTGGCGCATTTTGAACAGATCTTGTCTTTAGCTGGACAAGATTGTAGATGATTTGGACCGTACGGGTTTCCACATTTGTAACATTGTTTTTGGGTTTTTACGTTGTTGTTCAGTTGTTGTCCTCTTGTTTTTTGTGATCCACGTGGATACGGTCGTCCGCGGAAACCACACCGGCCTCTTTGTGCGTTTTGATTGTTTAAATAATTGTATCGGTCACGTGTGTTAATGTAGTGTATCGGTTCTTGTTTTGGTGAGGTAGTTGGTCCTCCGAACGCGTTTATCTTTATTGTACGACTGTGTTCCATGCCTACGTATTGCCGACGTATTGCATATTTATATGCATCTTGTGGACTCCGTGTTTGTGCTACTAATTCTTCCGCAATTTTTTCATTATTCATATGTGCTGTGAACATGTCTCTTACCCGTTCGTCTTCGCGATCACCACAATCAGCTCGTGAAGCTAGCTCTACTAAGTCTGCAGGGAACTGCTCAAGACTCTCTGGTTTCTTTAGTTTTCTACAAATAAAATTTTATCTTTCGAAGGCGACTATTCTGCTCGTAATAAAAAAATCCTCCAGTATCGTCATGAGTTCTTGTGTGGTAGCCGTGTGGAGTTCCAGACTGGGTCTTTTCTGTTGAAGTTGTCTTTGACCTTTAGCTCCTAAGCATAAGAAAAGATAGCTGCGTACCTTCGCGTCTGCTTCGTCCCATCTGAATGAATTGCATAGTACTCCTTTTTCCCGAGCATTTATAACATGGTTCTCCCAACCAACTCGTGGTTCCCGGTTTTCTTCTGTGCCTCTGTTTCACCTGTTATTTCAACTTTGTATATAGGTTCTGAAGGGTCAACTAATGATGGTCTGGCTCTTAGTAGGTTTCGTACCTCGATTCCGTCCTTTGCGAATACTGCCATCTCCAGTATCGCTGCCCACTTTGACCATTCTAACGGCGGTTCGACAGACGCCTTCCGCCTTCTCCCAAAATGGATTTAAATTGAATGGGTTTTTGGAATATCCTGCTGGCTGCGTCATGTCATACCTCTGTGTATGAGCTTCTATTTCTCGAATCCGAATGGATTGATAAACAATGAGTTCCTACCGAAACGGAGTAAAACAACTAGTTGATAGACAATGTTAATTCCGACTGAACAATAGTTCAGACACAGTTCATGTTCTGTGCCTATCAAGGTCAACCTGCCTATCGCATGAAAGAGTTTAACATAAACTATAAATAATATAAATAAACATGTATGTACTGAGTTTATCAATCCAGGCCGGATGACATGAGTAACGATTACAATTTCTACCATTTTGAAGTAAACGCTGCTTCTTTGCCAAACCAAACGTTTCTCAAATTGAGTCTGTAATGATCAAGAAATAAACGCAAAAATCCATACATCTTTGATAGTTACCTGTTCTTAGAATAAAATGACTCGATTTTTTGTAAGGGTAATTGACCAGATTTCAGTTTTGAACGTGGATTTTGGCATTCCATTCCTATTTTTTTGCGCAGGTATATGTGCCTTTGTCATAACGGTTTGTCGAATAGCAACAACATTTGCATTATTTCTGCCAGTCTTGTTTATTACAAATTTAACCTAGTTCAGATTTTGACTGTCACATTTTTCGTGTTATTTTACAAAATCGTACCCACTAGAGATCTTTTTGGGCCAGTACAATTGTGGATTTTGCAAAGTGACGAATATTCTGGTCATTTTGTTTTGTAAAGCTTAAAAAACCCGAAATGCAAAAAATCTGTGGAGGGAAGAAATGGCGATAAACTTTTATTCAGGCATAACTCAGCGTTTTCGTTTTGATAAAATCTGTATTTTAGGTTGCTAAGTTTGTGGTTAAAGTTTCTTAAGTTTGCTTTGATATTTAAAGCGTAACTCAGTGGAGATTTTTTTTAGGACACCCTGTATATCATTGATACTTTACAAAAACAACTAACTAAAAACAATGAAAAAATTTTTAAAAAATGCTGATGATCATTTACCTTCTTCGAAGGAAACTAGAGTAGATCCCGGTTTACAATTTTTTTCGATTGTGACGATGTTATCATCAGTTTTTTTAAATGAAAATCTATTTTGAAGGGAAATCTTGTGAACATAGTATATATTGTGCATTTAAATAGTGAATTTCTTGCCGCAATAGTATCACAGATTCAAAGCGGCGGAGTTTCGCACGACTTGCAAAAAAAACAGCATCAATATTGCGTTGCAAGCTAGCGGTTAGAATAAAGACGGATCCACTAAGTCGACAAAATTACATGAAAAAAGTGTCGAAAAAATTTCTACCCACAAAGTTGTTCTCTCGAAAGATAGTAAATTCGATGAAAATAAACCATAAAGCATTATTAACAGCATTAAATTAGCTTTGAAAAAAAATTACCCAGTGCAATATGGACAAACGAAACATGGGCAGATGCCTGCCAAAAAAATGTCAAAGAAACTTTTGTGCTTAAATTGTTACATTCCGAGAAGTACAAAAGTGCTTTAAAGTACTTAATAGCCTTTCAAAACATATACAAAAGTCACTAAAGGTGAGCCAAAGTAACGTACGCTGAACAACTTCAACCCCAAAAACCTAAAAGACAAAAAAAAGATGAAAAGAGCAAAAAAAAAATTCCTTAAACTCAAAACCCTGCATCTAACAAAAGTTTGATGCTCTGCTCTTAAATGGTGAGACTTCCTTGAGCCTTCAGATAAAATCCATGCTTTTGAAAAAGATCCGATAAAAACTAAGCTGTCAAATGAAAGTCCGATATTTTGAGTTCTTCGCGAAAAGGTTTCCAGAAAAACCAAGGTCCAGCCGCGAGTCAAACCCCAGACCTTAGGTTCTCAACGCGCGCACTTGATCAAAAAGCCAAAAGCGCAAAACTTTGCAGCATCAAAAAACCAACATGAAAACCGTACATAGCAACAACTCATAATTTAAATCCAATTTTGGCAAAGTTTTTCGTACCAAACACAACCATGCTGTTTTCTTTTTGGGTTGCTATTGGAGATCGTTTGTCTTTTTTATCAATCAGCAGTCAAAGTCGAAATACATCGAATACTTATAGAAGCTATCAACAACATATTGGTGAAATAAGGAAGTCCCCTTGAGCCTCTACGGAAAATTAATGCTTCAACATTCGACAAAAACTAAGCAGTCAAACAAAAGTCCGAACATTCGAGTTCTCTCCAACAAATTTCTCCCAGAAAAGTCCAGCTACAAGTCAAACCCTAGACCCTAGGTTCTCAAAGCGCACATTTGATCAAAAAACCAAAAAGGAACGGCCGGTACAATACTGAGGTTTCATGATATAACAAGGTAAGATTCTCATGAAATTAGGAGAAAGCTAATTGCTGAAAAACATCTGGCTCCTTTTTACAAATAACAGGGTCTCGCAAGTGGAAACAGAAAAAATTAATGATTTAGGAACCTGGTGGCAAAAAAATGAAGCATGGCATTTCTGAAAAATTCTTGAAGTTTTTGGAAGAAGTTCTTTGCTTGAAGTTTTTGGAAGAAGTTCTTTGCTTGAAGTCATCAGTGAGATTCGGCAGAATGAAGCAAAAATTAGTGAGAAGTACTCTAGACGCGGAAACCAGTATCAAAATTTTCTTTGAATTTTTCATTTTCATGCGACATCGGCTGTAAGAAAAAAAACCTTTCATCATCCGCAGATTTTTTCTTATAGCGCAAATCTGCCATTGAGCTATTTGGCGTAAAAAAAATTGAATACCTCCCATATTTAGTCAGTAAATCGTGCAAGATTCTTGAGATAAAATGCAAACATTGCGAAAGTTTTGAAAAATCTGGCAACATGTCCCTTCTTCAATCGAAAAGCAATCCTTGCCTAAATCTTGCAAACTTCTTGCAACACAAAAAAGCCATGGTAATTATCTTTAAGGTAAATGTTTTTTTCTTTTATGTGTTCCTAAAAACTGATATAGCATTCATTCAACTTCTTTATGCATCAATCGATTGAGGAGACCATAATTCAATAATTTAAGCGGCTTAACTTTTTAATTTGAGCAAAACGGAATGCGAATCATACAAATCATTCAAGAATCTGGCGAAAAGCAAGAACATCGTAGTACTGGGGTACCAATAGTTCTGAATCAAATTTAAAGGCCAAGAATGCATTTTTTTCACCCAAAATTAATGCTAGTTTTCGCTCGCCTGAGGTACAACAGTTATATTAATATTTTAAAATTTAAGACCTGGTGACGTGAATGGACTGTTTTTCTGTTTAAGCAGTTGGTTCAAACTTTACGAGCTTTTCGACCAAATTTTTGAAACCAAGTTGCATAGATCAGAACCCTGGTCATCATTAAATAAGTTTTTTCTATAACTGCCAATTTATGTTAAGCTGTGGTTTCAGTCCTTCAAACTGAGCAAATTCATTGAACTTAATACTCTTACCAAATTTTAATCAAAAAATTCTGTGACGAAAAACTTGGGATTTGTTTCAGAGTATATCAAATCTTTTTTAGGCTTGATGATCAACCAAATTACTAAAAAGTGGACAATTCTCGACAAGGGTAGATCTAGAACTTTTTCGAGAGGGGGGATTTTTAAAAAATTCTACAATTTTGTCAAGAGACACTCTAAAGACCCTATTTTGACTTGAACACTTTCAAGATCCTATTTTGAGCTGGTAAATTTTTGAAAAACAGGCCAAACAAGGTGTTTTCAGAAACATTTTAGAACGTTTTGACCGAAAAATCGCGTTTTTTCGGCGCGTACTCTCAAATCAAAATTAATATATATGGGCACCAAAGGCGCCTTAAAAAAATTAGGGTCAGTCAGCCTAAAATGGAAAATTTAAAATAATATAAAGGGGCGGGGGCCTTTGGGTCGCCAGGGTCAACCATGCTGCGAGATGCTGTATTACTCTCAAGCTTCTAAGTTATTTCATGTATTAAAAAAGCTTGAAAAAATCCCTTAAACTCCTCTTCTACTGCATGGTCACAAAAAACAACTAAGATGCTGAGAGTGACGTTTGTATTTGTTTTCAGAGACAGAAAACGATTAAAACTATTTTAGTTTGTAGCACAACTGGGCATCAACGAAATAAATAATTTGAAATTTTTTATGAACCACAGCGCAGTAACATTTGCTTAACAAAATAGAACAAAAATGCTCGTATCAGGGCAATACCCTGATTGTTCCGACTGCCTTTTAAGGTCTATGGAGCAGTAACAACATGAAAAAATTAAATTTAATAAAATGAAATGAAAAAAATATATATATTTAAAAATTGAGATTTTTTGTGAGAGTCAACAAGTTGAACAGTCGAAATTTGTCTGAAGAAAAAAACACCCAAGCATAAATACTCTGTTACTTTCGTTATGAAAGTCAGAACAAAAATGTATTTCTCAAAATAATCTGGATCAGCTAGAGTATGTAGTTGATAGCTCTTATAAATACTCGAAGCCCGTTGCAAATCGAAGTTGGATGTTGATTGATAAAACGACAACATTTTCTCCAATAACAACCTTTTGTGATGGCAACCAATTAAAGTAGCTGGGTTGTTCCGTTACAAAAAACCCGACCGAAACCGCATTTATAATGTAAAATAATTGGCGGTGTATCGACTAGGATAAAGCACGACCAGCATAAAAGTTTCACAAGTGAAAATCGTATCGACTAGCATGAAAATCCATTCACAAAATTCATATCTTTTCATAATTAAAATCTTATCCAAAAAAATATTTGTGAATCTCAGTTTTTTCACACATTTTATAATTTGCGCGGTCATCAGTGTTTGGTTTCAGCCCTTACAGGTCCGGGTGTGACCGCTCAGCATGTATGTGCTAAGTATTTCATTTTTTAAGTTGATTGCTTAGTTTCTCAATTGCTCAATTTTCTACTTCTTAGAAATTAAAGTCTCAATTTCAGTGGAATCTTAATGCCGCCTAGTATTTCTGAGAAAAGAAGCTATCAAAATTATGCTAGTTGATACAATGTCATGTTTTCAATGCTAGTCGAGCGGTCACCATACTCTGCTTTGTATTTTGATTAGAGAAGTTTTTAAATAGAAAAAAGTTATCAGCAATTTAATTTCAAAAAACTGACCATAACTAATATGAAAAAAATTGAATAAATTATTTAAGCCAACAAAAATAAGACCAACACTCAAAAGCCTGAAAAAAGTCTTATTATAGGAACTTCCATGTACCACCTAAAAAAGAATCACTTAACCCTACGTACGTGGCAATTGGTAATTTACCATTTCTAAGTTCCTTCTAAATTGACCATTCTGTGAAGAAAGTTATTTAAGGGGAAAACTTCTTGTACCCAGTTGCAATATCCCTGCTTAACGCAAGGGTAAAAAACTAGGAGATAAAAATTTAAATTTATATTATTGCTATTTTGACAAGCGACATAAAGATAAGAAAGTACGCACAGCAAACAAAAACCTTTCATTTCCATAATTTCAAATTTAGGTAAAGTTTGATTTTCTGCCAACTACGGGCGATATTTGCTGTGAGTCATCATCTTCCTGTACTTCAAGATCACTCGCACCCGTGAAAATTAGTTCAAGCTCTTCGTCTGGAATGAAATCGTCGTTTCCGTTTGTCAAATCTGATTCAATCTTAGTAGCGTCCTTGTCTAATGCATCGCTTTGTCTTACAGTAAGTTGGGTTGGGAGCAGACTTTGGGTTTGAAAAAGCGAATCATCCACGTCGTTGTCCCAACAAGCATCATCTTCTTTAACTTGCACATCATTACTATCTTTAATGACTTTTTCGCTAGAATCCCAGTCGTCTAAAAACTCAAACTCTGAAAATTTTTCTCCCATGAGACCGCTTACAGTGTCACTGCTTTGTTTCGATATCCTAGAAGTTGTAACAACTGGTTCCATGAAATTAGTGATCTTTCCTGAAATTTTCTTTTTGGCCACGAAGTCAATTTTGCTTTGATCCTTCGGGATGTACACTTGATTACTGGTTTCCGCATTTTTAAAAGCCTCAGTATCGTTTGAAAGTCCTGCTTCTTTCATTATCGACATTTTGTTTTTTATCATTGGCCAGATTTGATCGTCAACTGTTTTATTAGCTATCAAATAATGCACAGTTAGGTTACAATGCTGACCAATTCTATAGGCGCGGTCTTCTGCCTGGATCAAATCGCCTGGGTTCCAGTAAAGCTCCGCAAAAACTACAACCGAAGCTGCTGTTAAAGTCAGTCCAGTATTCGCAGCCATGATTGACAACAAAGCAACACGGCAATCGGGATCTTCTTGGAATTTATCAACCAGAGGTTGGCGATCGTATGCCAGAGTTTTTCCATCAATGCGAATGAAATCCATATTTTTTGAATTTAGGTGATCGCTTATACCATCCAACATTTCAATATGATGAGCAAAGAGCAATAATTTTTCGACACCGCTTTCAAAAAGTTCGTCCATGTAGTTAATGACAGCGGGCAACTTAGCAAACGCAGAAGCTGTAAAGAAATCGAACAAAAGTTGCTTATTGGAACCACTCATTAATTTCGAAGTCTCAACATTGCTAAGTTGTTTAGACAAATATGAAAACGATTTCTCTTTATTTTTGATCAAACTTTTGTCTAACGTCACAATTTTTCTCGTTTTAGGCGGTAACTGGGATAGAACATCTTTCTTTAGTCGTCGAATGAAACCGGTAAACGACAGCAAGACTTTAAACTCGTCTAAGTTGGACGACCCGTTGTAGTCCATACCCCATGGTCTTTGCTTTGCGTCACAGTACCTGGAAGCATACACAGTTTGGTTACTGAAGGTCGCTTTGTTTAGTAACTGAAGTTGGGTGAACATTTCAATCGGCCTTGACATCATAGGTGTGCCTGACAACAAAAGTAATCTTTGTGCACTTTTCACTACTTCTTGCACGGCTTTAGTTCTAGCCGCTTTTCCCGATTTGATGAAATGTGATTCATCTAAAATTGCAACTTTGAACTTAAACTTTAGCAATTCTGTTTTTAATTTCGGAACTAACGTGTAACTCAAGATTAAAACTTTCGGCCGACTTTCGCTGTAAATGTCTTTCGTAGTGTACACAACAGAAACACGTTCTAGTGAAATGTCAGGTAACCATCTAGCTATGGCATCGGCCCATGTATTACGTAATGACGAGGGACATACAATCAGTAGTGGCCATTCGGCTTCATAATTAAAAGCGATCATTAAAGCCTGAACGGTTTTACCCAGACCCATTTCATCGGCAATCAGCGCGCGTCCATTACGACCTATGACCCACTTAATTCCCTCACGCTGAAAATCCATCAATTCGTCTGAATTCGGAAATTTGGACCAATCAATTGTCTTTTCCTCTTGAATTTTCTCGAACTTACGACAGATTTCGAACTGTTTCAGCACCATTGTAGGCAAAGGTCGCAAGGTCAGACGCTCAGCGAGAGGCAATGATTTTAATTTGTCAAAAAATGTGTTGTAATCTTCAATGGGAAACCTCCATTGTCGCGTTACAGGGTCATACTCTTTTCTGGCCATAGATTTGTAAGCTTTGACTAATTCTGCGTCATATTTGCTCCTAACTTCAAACTGAGTTTCGGAAGTAACAACAAAATTGACTTCTTCGCTGAACCCGCTTGTAAAATTATTAAATTTTTGATCAACTAGGTTTGGGTTTTTCACGTTTGAGCTACCTGGAAATTTACTAGCAACGAAATTCGACCCTCTCGGTTGAAAATTGAAGCTAGAGTTTGCATTAAACGAACGCTGAGTAACATTTGTGGGGAAGGACTCAGAGCCATAAAAAGATTTCTTAGCCAGCGGAGGCTGCGGCTCTATTTTATCAGTCAGCACAGTCGTTGTAAGATTCACATTTCCATGAGCTCGTTTTGTATTTGTGAACTTGACTTGCGGCACGTCCATATTAATCTTCTTTCCAAATATGGTGGCAGTATTTGAGCTAACCGGCACACTCTTATTCGCATTCTGCTGTTTCTGAAGCGCCAATCGCCGTTTTTCTGCAATTTGTTGTTTCTGTTGCTCTGTTAAACCTGTTTGCATACTTACTCTTCGATACTTGCTTCACTTCTCATATGATAACAAGCGTTTGATGATATCAGAACTCATTACAAGTTACTGAAAAACATCATACTAGAATCAATACACCTCATTTCTTAGTTGCTCGTCAATCCCGCCGTTTAACGAGAAGGCTTTCAGAAGATTCGACAAATCATATTTGACAGAAATGCGAAAGAACCCATCGAAAAAGTTGCGAATTGGACCAAATCCTGGTCGATAGTTGGTATTAAATACAAACTCAGGCAACGTTCCTTCAAGCTAAACAAAAAACATTTATTAGGATTATAAATCACCATTTTGAGCAATTCTAGGTTTTTTCGATTCTTTGAACATTTAGAAAACTTTCAGGAAAATCTAGACACCAAAATATAAACAATTTCTTTGACAGATTTTTACAAAATTAAGCTCAGTAGACAATTTTTCATGTTTCGCAACACTCGGCATCCTATCGCCTACAATTCCACTATCTAATTAATTGGGTCAAATATTTTAGACTAGATAAATGCAGGAAATAATGATGTTCTAAATTCTTGTGTTTTATTCCAACCTTCCTGTGTATATATCGACAAATCCCACTTAAGTTTCAAGTCTAACTCCTGACTTCAATTTCAACAAATGCATTTGAAATTCAACGTGCCTCAATCAAGGCAGCAACAACCAATTACCGTGTACCAAATTTCATTCAGTTATTATTTGCAATATCTCGCTCTAGATACTATTGAAAATATAACTTGTTTTATAACACAGAGGCGAAGCTGCGCTTCGCAAACACTAGTGCGAACACAACAAAAAGCAGCTCTATAAAGTACAATAAGAAAAAGTAGAAAAAGCCTCGAATTAGTAAACAGTCGGCTAAATCGCGGATTCGATGTTCTACCTAGAGATTATGAGTCTCACGCTCTAACCACTCAGCCACGGACACTTAATAAATCACCAACACTAGCCACAAACAAAGCAAAGAATAGATGCTATAAAATTTTAATGCTAGAGATCGTGATTATAGCAAAAGTGCCACCAAATAAGAGAATATTTTAATGAACACTTTTATTTGCGAGTTAGATTAGAAAAAAAGAAGGTTACAAATTTACTAAAGCTAGCAAGGTCGCAGGTGTAATCATCATAACGCTGAAAGTAAACGCAGTTGTTTGAAACTGTTAATGCTGAAATTAAACTCGAATACGTATCAATACAATTTAATTCGACCAAAATGAGTAAAGAATTCGATTACTGTTTTAGCAAAAAAATAGAAGCGGCTAAATAGCAAATTTCTAGAAAAACACTTCACATTTAGGTACAAAAATTTAACAAACTTTTTTTTGCAATATGTGTTAGTTTTTCAACAACAGGTATGCTATTTGCTAAAACTAACACACAAAAACTATATTAATAGATATTTTTTCATTCCTGGAAAAACGTATACTTTAAGCCCATTTTGTCAGCAAAATTTAAAGGCTTTTTCGCTCCATTTCAAACTTTGTCATTGGAGAGCATGATATAAGTCACAATGTATAAACTTTAATGACTGTTATAGAGATATTGAAGAAAGCAGAAAATACTATCTTTGACTTGAATTTCGTTTCGTTATTGTTCCGAGCTCTCGAAGAGTGGAAAGCAACTGCTGATTCGGGTCTGTTTTTCCCAGCAAATTCTTATTAGTTCAAAGAAACCTCGAAAAAATTCAATTGTAGTATCCTATTGACCCTCTTTTGCTCGGGATTCGGAGTCTAGAAAACCTGAAGAGAAAAACGGATCAGAACTTTTTCGTTTTTTGGACTAATTCAGACGAAATTTGATGAGCAGTTGACTTCCCCCATTTTGAAGTTAATTATTCACCTATGGCTATTGACATTTCATGCATTTTGTCCTAAAAGAACGGCTCTTTCTAGAAAAAGAACATTACAGGAAAATTGGAAATTGCAAAAATAATTTTTTTTAAAAATGTAGATCAATTTAAGAATTGTTTTCGTATATCAGTTTGGTGCACGGTTGGTCGGAACAGTTTAGCGTATACCATTTTGGTGTACATCAACCGGCTAACACGATTGCAGTTGAACGCAATCAAAAACTATCGCAGATCATAGTAATGATACGCAGTTTGACCTTTTCTGAACACTTTTTCGAGCATCAATGAATTTTTGGATCAAAGTCACCATAAACCTAAAAATTAAATTCAAAATTCTGTTACGCCAACCCGGTTGCTCTTTTTAATCAATTTTGTCTGTTCCAACTTGAAGAAACTCTATGGCAGCGAAAGAGAAACAAATGAAGTGAAAATTATATTTTTAGCATTTCAAAACATTTCACTACAAGGACTATACTAGTAATATAATCGGCCTGTAACATCTAAATACAACTGAAAGAGTATCAATGTCAGTTATGTTTTGGAAATAGATTTTAAATCATCAGTAGAAATTCTGGTCGATTAAAACCTTCATCAGTTTCATTGTGGCATTGGGTGATAGAGGAACTGTGGAAGGGTCGATTGCTTGTATGGGTTCATTTGGATCTGTCGATCTGATAATTAAGGGATCTGAGGGCTCGTCAAGCACAGGTGTTCCGGGTCGGGAACTTTCCTCATTTGATGAACTTCGACTGTCACTTAGCGTTCTCTTAATTTTCTGATTTACAGGGCTTGTTTCAGTTGAGTTGGCATTTGAAGCACTAGATTGCGATGTTCTGTGCTCCAAATTGGGAGAGATCATGTGTGATTCAACTTCAAAACTTTCCTCCGTCGGACTAACTGGAGATGGTTGGGTACGACTGTTTTTCACTGAGACACGTTCCGTAGGAATGATTATCGGCGTAGGCGGTAATACAGTCATCTTCTCTCGCTCTATAGGAATTATCATCGGGTGATGGACCTTCGCTGCTCTAGTTTCTTGAAGATACTCATTCAAATCTTTCTTACGCTTCAACTGAGGAATTGTCGAATTTCTATCTACTGAGATTTGTGACTGATGCGTCTGTGTAGTTTGATGAGGGACCACCCTGTTCTGATTGGATTCCGGGAAGTTGGCCCGATTGACACCTTCCCTTGAAGCTCTTCCAGGTGGAACCATTCGAACAGGCGGTGGGATCCCGCCGGGACCATTCGGTTGTCTTCTGTTGACTGAGCTCTGATACGTTGGGGCATTCGTGGGGTGACCTTGACCGTAAGTTGCAGTTGGTTTCATAAAAACGGGTTGCTTGAAGCCTGAAGGGGATTTAGGTGGGACTTTTTGAATAGGTTTTGGCGATGATTGAGAAAGATTAGGATCAAAAAGACCAGGTGGCGGTGTTGGTGGTCTGTCGTAGTCGAAATCATCGTAGTTGAATCCTGTAGGTGGCGGTAATGGAACTGGTAAATGCGATGACGGCGGTACACTTTTACTAGGTATGTTAATTCCCGGGTTAGTTGGCGGTAATCCAGGTTTCACGTCAACCTTGAAGTTACTCGTTGGATCATATTCATCATCATCAGCACCTAAGCTTGGACGTCTTTGAGGCCTTGAGAATTCCGCGAAATTTCCTGTGAACTCCATCAACTGACCGAGTTTTCTCTTGAAAGGATCTTCCGAGCCCAGGAGGTTTTGGTTCATTTTCACTGGTGCTGAAGGAAATGTCGGAGTTGGACTAGCCAATCCATCTTCAATATTCGGAGTCGGAGTTCCAGGGGCGGATCTTCCCACGGCTATATTCTCTATGGATCCCTTCGCTTTCGGCAGCTCTTTGATAGGTGGGAACGGTCGATTTGAATTCTTAGTAACCTGTTTTTGTTTAGCAAGTTCAAGATCCGCGAACATTCGTCCTTTAAGCTCATTGGGTTTATCGTTAGACTGCCTTTTTGTCTGTTCTTTTCCTTTAGATACAGTTGCTCCGTATTCTTTCGCAATCTCATCTTTGCTTGCTTTGTTGGCATAGGAGGATCCAGCGGACTTATTTTTCGGTATTTTGAAGTTGGCCACGTCCGGTTTTTTGGTGTGCAGATTTTTCTCAGATAAATCAACCGATCTTTCTTTCTCCTTTTCTTTTTCGGCCTGGCGAATCTCGCTTTCAATTTTGTGACGCGGAGTATATGATATACTTTCAATTTTCTTAACCGCCTTTTCTTTTTCGAAAGAAGATTTGTCCTTCTTATCTGAATGAGATTTGGAAGGCACGTTAAGCTTATTCGCACCGGTTGCGCTACTAGGCAAGTTCGAATCTATTCCGCCGAACAAATCATCGAGCAATTGTACCTTGGTTTTAGTTATCTTTGGCGGTAAGATCTGCCCTTCAGGTACCTTAGACGACTTCATTTCAGTAGCATTAGCGTTTTTGGCTGAAGACGCCAACTCTTTGGTTTTCGCTAGCTTTAGTGGATTCGATTGACCCTCGAGCAAATTCGGTGACTTTATTTCGGATGTGTTTAAAATTTTGTTCGATGGCACATCCATTTTTGTCTCATGTATTTTAGCTAATTTTTCACTATGGCTGGATCTTATTTTTAATTCATCTGCTGATTTCTGATACTCATTGCTGCTAGCGAGACCTGACTCTTCGAGTCCCAAATTTGGAGGAAGTTGTTTAGAACCAAGAGCACCCATTGATTTTTCACTTATCGGATTAGCTGCATTACTATTGATTGATTTCACTTTTGGATTCGCTTGTTTTTCAGCTGCGGAATGACCGACACTTGACGTTGCCGACTTGACTTCAATATTATCCAATTTTGGCGATGTTGAGATCTTCTGATTAACTACTTCATTCGTTTCGTCAAAATGACCTTGCTCTTCTAGCCTGTTAACAACTTTCGTCTCTTTGGAAGGCTTAACTTCTATATCGTCTGATGGTTTAAAGTGTTCTTTCTGCTTCAATTGCGAGGGAGATATTTTTGTCATTAATGGCGACTTGAGCTCTACAGCTTGAATTGGACTTAGATTGACCATTAATTCGTGTTTTTGCGAAAATGAAGCCGGCGTTTTGTCGACAGCGACCGCTAACTCTTTAATAGTAGAAACTAAATCTAATTTTGGTCTTTTTGCAGACACATGTCTCGAATCATCAAGATCGACAGATTTTCGCCGTTTTTCTTTTTTGTGCTTCTTCTTGTGTTTGCGCTCGTCTTTCTCAACTTGATGATTACTAGTATCATTAATCTGAGGTTCTATGTGTCGTCTCTCAGATGAAGTTTCTTTTATTTTAGAATTACCTTTTTCCTTGATTGGCTTGACATTTTTGTGCAAAGCTTTACGAATATCTTCTCCTGATAACTTTGGTTCTTTAGTCGAAGTCAAATGATTTTTTTCTAGATGCGGCTTTAAATTTTCGCTAGCGGCTTCCTGGTTAAATTGAACTACAGTCGTCTCAGTGTTCTGACTTTTTTCGATCTTCGCAATAGGAGAACTATCAGAAACTTTATTAATTATATTAATTACGCTTTTATTTAATGTGGACCCTCCATTTTTATCTACAGTAGAGACATGTTCTTGAGTTCTACTCTTTGGCTTGATCGCGATTCGCACAATCACCGGCTCTCCATCCGGTGATATTTTTGTTATTTCTCGATACTGCACTTCTTCGGCCGAGAATTGATCTGTTGCCGAGCTAGAAACCTCCGATTGCCTTTTGTGCACAAAATCGTTTTGGTTGCCAGACTTATTTTCCATAGAACTGGTAGCCTCTTTTTCCACATTAACATCTTCATGCTTGGGCAAAGTTTCTCCTAATCCATTAGTCATTCTACGTTTTGCAACGCCTTCAACTTTTTGAAACTCAGTTTCACTTGCAGATTCATTTGGCTTGGAAACTTCCGGCACTGGTCGAGCAGCTTCATTCTCTTTCTCATGCGCTTCTTTTGTTACTGAGGATTCAATTTTAGATGGCATGTCCTCTGCATGCTCGCTTCCAGAATTACTGCAAATGATTTCTGTAACAATCAAATCGTCAATTGCTTGGTCACTTTTCCCATTTTCTTCCACTGACGGTTTCGGCGCTTCTTTGGTTCCACTCGGAAAGCTGATTGTCACTGGTGGTCTAGATTGTTCCGATTCATTAGCCCACTTGTCTATCAGATCCAGGGGTGAAGATTTAGGCAGTGAATTCAGCCCATCGCCAGTTGGTGTTTCAGCTTTGATTGCGCCATCTTTGCTAGTTTCAACCTTTAACATTACAATTTGATTAATTAGCGAAAGAGCCAAAAAAGAAATGTTTAACTTAAAAAACGGCTTAGAAAGTTTTAAAAAAATTTCACGGCTGGATGTTGCTTCATGCAAAAGCAATCAGCACAAAAAAAACTTGATAGTTTTTTTAGATTTTAAAAGTCTGTGCGACTGCCGTTAAAAATATTTTCGAAGAAGCGCTCAGCGAATTGTATTTAAACTCACGTTGATACTTTTTTGGGTACCATGTATATTATATTTTCTGCGAGCACCAGGTCTGGGACGGTCATCGACAGTACCTGTGGTTTCATACCGCCATACCAACCGCGAAATTGTGGAAGTTTTGCAACGGAAATAACGAGCAATTTGGGTCTGCGAACAATTATTTTTAAAGAAGAAAATTGCTTGCGTTCTTTCGTTCAATGTTAAACGAGGCATCTCTTCAGCTTTTTCATAAATGCACGTGAAAACATATCACAAGAAGCAACAAAATGCAGATTTATTAGGTTTCAACTTATTATTTTTTAAATAGTTCTGAGCTGAACAGATCATGAGAGATGATGACTAGAATCTACACTGAACGACAAAATTGAGCGCAAAAATCCAATTTGGACATTTAACCAAAAATTTTCCTTCGACTGACAGCGACTTATCTGAGCTCCCCTCCAAAAAAGAACAACTTATGATTTCAAGGGCTCACAAGTTTGCTCCAGGTTATGAAATGTTTCGAGAAATAAAAAAGATTATGGAACCAACAGGGTTCGAACCCCCCGACATCTAGAGGTAGAGTCTAATGCCTTAATAAATGCCAAATAGAATCGGATTGCACAGACACTGAAAATATTGAGTACTTGTGTTGAGCACTAATTTATAACTCGTAATATAACAATCGTTCACTGGTGTTAACAAAAACTGAAAATACCCGAAAAGAACATGCGCCAGCAAAAGAACTTAGCTTTTAAACCAATCAATTACCGGAACCTTATCATCAAATTTTTCTAACGTACTTGACTAGGAATCAGGAACTCACATAATGAAGCGGATGAAACACTTGCTTATAAATCGCAAAACAGAATTTGAGCTGTTTATATATATACTGAAATTGAACAAAGAATGTTGCGATTTAAAATGGAAAAAAGCGCTTGCAAAATGTCGGGCAAATACAAGACCAAAATTTGATTTCAAAATGAATTGTTTTCCACTTGGAAATTTTTGATATAAAACTAAGGGAAAACATTGCCCTTAGTAATTTATGAATAATTTATGTCAAAATGAGACTTTATTTACTTAACACAGTGTATTTTACATACAACTGCGATAACACACAATTATTGCATTGCAAGTTAGCAGACAGAAAAGGAAAGAAGAGCCCAAAAGAAAATTTATAAAAATTCGTAAAAAGCCATAAAGCTTTTAAGCGAAAAAATCAGATTTAGGAAAATCAGAAACACTTTTGAATTACTATGAAGAAAATTGAGTGAAAAAGAAAAACAAGGATAGCTGGTTTCTGTGCAAGTAGCACAGAATGTTCCCGCCATATTCAACATACAATTGCATATATTTACATACAATTGCGATAGCACAATAATAGCATTGCAAGTTAGCAGACAGAAAAGGAAAGAAAAGCCACAAAATTTGTAAAAACTAGCAAAAAATGTGTCAGTGTTTTGCTGATGGAGTGATGAAAGAATCAAACCAAAGCCTCTAACTTAGATCAATTCGGCCGCCACAGTAACATAGACAAAATTGAAAATGACAAGAAAAACAAAAAAATATTTGAAATTCAAATTTTTTTTGAATTCTTGAAGTTTATTTATTCCCTTAAGTTTATTTTATCCCTTGAAGTTTATTTATTCCCTTGAGTTTATTTATTCCCAAATGGCGCTGAAATACATTTCAAAAAACATTTGTACTGGGTTAAACCAAAATTTCCGCGGCCTTTCTTACTATAACAAAACTGCTCGCTCGCTTTAATCGCTCGGAATTGAACGGAATTTTAAACCAGTTTTTATCGACACTGGGTCAACTTTTTGAAAATTTTTAGATGTCGTTTGACTCAGTGCTGAAAGACCTTCAATATGATACAAAATCCATTCAATCCGATTATTATTTGTGGTAAATGATTCGAGTGACAAAAACAAAATGAGCTGACCTAATTTTTGAAAAAATCTCGTTTCAGAAAAAATAGATGCCATTAAAGCTCTTCGAATTTCTACAACAATTTATGATTGGCATTTTTTTGATAACTTAAGCCCAATTTGAGACAACTGGATCAATAAGTAAAATTTATATTTCGCTGGAAAATCTGAGAATATATTCCACTTTCGAAACTAGAAGTCGAGCACGTTTTTCGTGACCTTTACACTTTTGCGGTTCGATAGTGGAGCTTGCCTTCCATTTAGCAAAGGAAATAAACTAAACTTAAAAAGAAATTACTATTCAAACCACGAAAAAGTTAATTGGAGCCTGAACAAAATTTAAGTTTTTTCTGGAAAAAAAACTAAACAAAAATCACCAACCCCTATAGAAGAGTATTCACTACTTTCAGGAAGCCAGTAGATTCAAATATTTTATCAATAACAATAAAAAAAATAAAATAATTTGAGCATCTCACCGCCGGAATGGAGTCGTGCTTCAAATAGTTTTGTTTAACAAGTTGTTACCCGAAACAAGTCTGAAAAAACTCGCAAGCGTTTAAATGCTTATTTCGTTTGATTTATTCATTTGAAAAAATTCGTTTTCGATGCGAAAATTAGTCACACTTGCCATCAGACAGCGAAATATATGTGAGCACAAAATCCTTTAAAAAATCAGACTTTCAGTTTATGAACTGTTAGAAGTTCATTTCGTTTTTATTCAAAGACTGACCCAAAAAGTTTGTTGGAAAATTATAACAAAGGCGAAGCTGCCTTCGCAAACAAGCGATAAAATTGTCAAAGCTAGCTCTCAAATGCTAAAAAAAAATAACGTGAAAATTAGAAAATGTTTCGACGATGAATTCAAAATGCATCAACTGTTTAAACTTATTATTAATCGAATATCAAAGCACATGCTACCAAAAAGTCGTAGAGGTTCCACCAAAAATGGCACCAAAATTTGCGTTGGGAAAACGGCACCAATATACTTAGGTTGGGAAAAAAACGAATAGTCGTACTATTACACTACGCTTGGAAGGGGAAAAACTAGCCACTATTATAGCAGATACAACTGAGAATATTTAATTGCCAATGCTATGCCAGCCAACGTTTTACCATTGAGCACTTTATTGCGAAGTGGGTTAAAAAAGTGAGCTTCGTAATATGACACTACGCTAGCTAGTCTCTCATGCAACTTTGGTCAACATTTCCTGCCTAAAAATCGCAAACTGCACCATTTCCGGTAACTTGGTGAGCAACTTTTGTCTATATCAAAATCACACCATCTAAAATCATTGCTGAGAGAAGGTCAGAAAACTGTGAATCAACTCATGGAACGCAAAAAAAAAATATTTTTCAACCATCGATATCTTGACCTAAAAATCTCTTCACTGACGAAACATGCAGAAAAAATACTTTTACAAGCTAAAGAAAATCAAATCTGGAGAACACTGTTTATATTTTTTGAACATGAACATAGCTCAACTGACTTGTAAAAAAAAGCCGATCTAATTTCAACACTGGCGAAATTGCACATTCGAAGAGGGTAAAAAAGCAACGTATTTCAGACGATTTGAAACAGCAATCGGCTGGTTTCGTAAAATTCATTCCCTATGGGAAAATCATACAAGTTTCCATGTACGTCAGTGAGCTCATACTGAGCAACAAATTACTGTTCACAAGTTTAGTCATCTATTTAGTTTGCAACTTCACTTTTAGTTTGCAACCAAGTTTATAAACCAAGTGAGATGAAATGCGCGGACACCCCCCCCCCCCCCACGGAACTCGACCCCTGACTACCCAAAGGGTCACCCCATTTGGTACTATTTTAGGTAATCTATCGCCCGCCGAAAAAAAAAACACAATTTTTTGGTCAAAACTTTCTTCAAATTTTGTATTTCAGAAAATTTGGACAAAATAGGGTCTTTATGATGATTTGGGAAAGCTAGGAAAATTAATTTGGATGACCTAAAAAAGTCAACAAAGTTTTCTTAAGTTTAAAGTTAAATTTTTTGAAAATCCGCTGAGAAAAAATAGATCCACCCCTGGTATAACTAAACTCAAAAAGCCGACAATCACAAAAAAATTATCCAATTAGTGAAAAAATCTGTATTAGGCACTTACCTTTTCAAACGTAAATTTTCTTGCCTTAGGAACTTCTTCAGCTAACTTTTCTTTTTCAACTTCATTCTCAAACCCAACCGTTTCTCCATCCGACGAGGGTGATTTCGGATCTACTGAAGGGACATTAAGCTTTTCGGTCTCGCTACTAGTATTCAAAACTGAACTCTCATCTTGCGCTATAGTTTCTTCGCGCGACGAACAAGGATCAATGCGCTGATGACCAGGTACATTAATTTCTACTCTAGCTAAAACGTCTTCCTCGCGTATTTGGACAGTTTCGAAGGAGTTTGTTGAAGATGTCAACGTTTTATCGCTGGGACTGGGCGTTGTTTCATCCCCGTACTCATGCAAAGATCGACTGCCGAGAGCTGGGAGGCTATAAATATATTTTTTTATAGTTTAGATTGCTGAAAAATAATCAACCCTCTGAAAAATATGTGCTCGATATAGCAGTTCACGATATCTGTTTAGATGTCACCTTATTGGGTAAGCACGCAAACACTTCCAGTAACTTTCTGTTTATATATTCAGAAAATTGTATGGAACCTATTCTGCCGACAGATAATTAATACGTTTAAAACTATCATTAAATTATCTAGGACTTACTTGATTGAAGTTGGTTTAATGGGTGGAGGCGTTTTAATATTAATATTAAACTCTGCAGAGCTCTTGTTGGAGTCCACTGTTTCAAATGAACTTTCAATATTTGTTTCTTTCCGAGTATTTGTATAAACGGTGTCCTTTTGTTCAATACTTTTGTTTTTAGCTTCGGTTTCTGAATTCTGCTGTTTTTGTTCGGGAAGTTTTTGCAATATATTTTCATCACTTTCTGCTTCTTCATCTGAGCCTTGGAAGTCAAAAACGTCTGAAGGCTTCACGATAGATGAGAGCGTTGGCTTGGAAGGTTTTAAGGCAGTTGACTTATTAGGCTCTGAAAGAAATAGACTCGAAGTAGCTGTTCCCAAAGCCTTTTCTTGGAACTGACTGACCGGCTTTTCTTGGAGCTGAAATAGCACTAAACTTCAGTATTGAACCCTTTATTTGAACTTTTCCAATCAGGATCAAAACAGAACTATCAAAACATTGCTACCAGCCTTTTGGAAAAGTTTCATGGACAAGGGGACCGGACAAATTTTGAATTTCAAGAATCTTCTAGCGACACTTGTTTCATAAAATTGACACAAATAAAGAAAACTGGAAGAATCAATAGATAAATCTTGCTTTCCTTTAACTGAATAAATTTGAATTGATCTTACAAAAAAATCAGAAACCAAACCTCGGAAGATCTAAGCAAATATATAAGCTTCTTCAATGCGTTCAGTAACACTTGAAAAGATTAATCCTTTGAATATTCTTGCGAAAAATGCAGCAAAAAGGAACATAATCTTACCGTTTTCAACAACAGCAGACGAAAATTTTCTTCCATACAAATAAGCGAAACAGAGCTTCGCAACATTTGCACCATACCATTGCAAAATAGCGGACAGAAAATGAGAAAGCCGTCAAATCGATTAAAAAAAGAAAAAGGAAAAAAACTACACTACTAACTACATTTACGTTTTTCTCAAATGATGTTCAATTAGAGGAAGGCATCTCGGGGGAAAATCATGCCAAAAAATATCGAGCGGCAGCTAAGCCGAGGATTCTTATTAGGCGCCACTTGAACCTAAAACAAAACTGTTGAGACAAAAAAATAACGAGCTATCAAATTCTGAAATTCAACAGAGGAAATAAAATACAAACTTTTTTTCAAGCAACGCAATATTAGATGACTCAGCCGATATAATATAAATCGAAACCACTTAATGAGCTATCAAATTCTGAAAATCAACAGAGGAAATAAAATAAAAACTTTTTTTTCAAGCAACGCAATATTAGATGACTCAGCCGATATAATATAAATCGAAACCACTTAATCAGCTGAATAAAACTTACATTTACTTACTCCTCTTACTAACTAAATTTACGTTTTTCTCAAATGATGTTCAATTAGAGGAAGGCATCTCGGGGAAAAATCATGCCAAAAAAATCTCGAGCGGCAACTAAGCCGAGGATTCTTGAGTAGACGCCACTGGAACCTAAAACAAAACTGTTGAGACAAAAAATAACGAGCTATCAAATTCTGAAATTCAACAGAGGAAATAAAATAAAAACTTTTTTTCAAGCAACGCAATATTAGATGACTCAGCCGATATAATATAAATCGAAACCACTTAATGAGCTGAATAAAATTTCTAAGCAAAAAAACTGGACAAAATCAGGCTAATTAAACTTGAAAACTACAAGAAGAAATCATAACATCTCTTAGTTATGAAAAAAATGCAAAAACTACAACAAAAATCCGCGGTGTGGCAACTAAACCGACAAAAAATAAGAAGACAACCAGCTTTTTACTTTCGGACCGGATTCGAACTCAGGACATTTGTTGTCCCCGATATAGACGTTACCTCTAGACTGAGGGTGCCAAAGAAGACGTCGCATTTGAATTAAAATCAAGTAAACATTCCAAAAAGGAAGAAACTTCTTTATAACGCTTGCAACTGTTAGGGCAGAAAAAATTAAGGCAGGCAAAAATTTGTCTACAACTGGAAAATATTTAACGTCATCAATCAAACACAGCAAAAATAGATTGAAACCTGTCAATGAACAAGTATAGCCAAAGAACTTTCGAATTTCGAAAAAAATTGACGCTTTTTAAACAAAACAAACGAAATAAAGCTCTTTAAGTTTCAACGACCATTTATGAGCGTTATTTTTCAGCCAACCCTGGAAAGACTGAATTGAAAAACTGGTATCTTCATATCACTTACGCATAAAGCTTCAACCTCTGGAGCTGTTTCTGCTTGTTTACTTGGCTTCAATTCGTTATTTTCTTCCAAACCCTCTTTCTTTGCATCATCTGAAGTTTTCTCCGGTTGTTCTTCTGGTTTTTCTTCATCCTCTTTTTCTTTTCCATCGGCTCCGAAAAGAACAGTTCTTTTCCGCGTGCGAGGCAGGTTGTCTTCGAACACTTGAACTTTAGTCGTATCAGGGCAGCACAGTTTGCATTGCCTGGAAACAGTGTATGTCATAAACAGAGGTTTTGAGTGACTTTTAAATCCCCATTACCAAACTATCTTTTACTAAAGTTAACATATTTTCGTTTTTCATACAGTCGAAGAGATTAAATCAACCAATCAATATTTCATTCAACTTTATCAGTCATTAATCAATTGTCTTTATAATAAGTCAACATGAAACTTAAGAATTTTTCTTATAGAGCGGCCGTAGCCGAACGGGTAAAACTCGCAGCCTTAAACACAAGGGTTGTGTTTTCGAACCCAATTTCGATCACGGTCGAAGGTCGTAATGCCATCCGCCTCCTCAAACTAGGAACGGAACGACTACGTCAAAATTGATGACACCACCTTGCGCAAGGAACTTAGGAAGGAATGGATCATCGAATAATTTAAAAACATTCTTCGACATTTCTTTGACTTAATTGATTTTAATCAAACTATTGACGTCATTGATTTTTACCAAATTATTGACGTCATAGATTTTTAACAAAAAACGTGCTAAGTGAGATGCAAAGTGGCCCCAAATCCACCTTACATGTTCACACAGAAGCAAAGCAGAGCTTCGCACCATTTGCGATGGAAAATGAATGATTACGAAGACTAACAGATAAACCGACAAATCGAAAAATAAAAAGCTTCAAAAATATAAATAATAAAAAAAAAACAGAAATCTTGGAACCAAATTAACTGCATCATAAGAAGACTTACAAAAGCAAAGCTTCGCATTACATGCGATACAACACATACAGAGCACGGCAAAATAACCGACAGAAATTGAGATAAAGCGTTGATAAAAAAACGTCAAAAAACGTTGTTAAAAAATTGTCTTTATTTTCTCTCGAATAAAAAATATTTCCAAGTAAATATACCAAGAAGTAAGACATTGTAGTGAATAAGTAATGAAACTAAAGTTAAAAAGCAGTTACAAAGCCGACAAATCTTGGGTACACATACACTGCGCCAAATTTATATATATATATATATATATCTATATTTTTTTGAAATTCAAAAAAGTATACATCTCCCCTCAAAAAATTTAGGTGAAACCTTGCACTCAAACGACTCCAAAAGAGTCCTCTAAGCCGATATAAAAATAGCCAAAACCTTTCAAGCCGATTAAAAAGAAAAAATGATATACTGAGCTTTTAAGTTTATTTTTACGTTAGACGTTACAATATAAGTTGTCAAAACTAACATTACCAGCCAAAACCGTTTAATTGAAAAAAAAGAAAATAAATAAAACTATCTAAAACCAGACTTGATAAATTTACAACTTACAGAAGTTGCAATTATAGTAAAAACTGTTAAAATCAAACTAAAATTCTTGCCGATAAAAACCGAACCAGGTACTGAAAATGACTTCAATCAAAACGGAAAATGAACCGACGAAAAGCATGAAGCTCAAACGAATGAACCGACGAAAAGCACGATGATCAAGAAGTAGAGAATCCGCTGAGAAATCTGAACATTAAAATTCACTTTCGAAACTAGAAGTCGATCACGTTTTCGGGATCTTTACGCTTTCGCTATTCAATAGCGGAGTTTGCCTTTCTTTTAACAAAGGAAACGAACTGAACTTGAAAAGAAATCGAAATTCAAACCGCGAAAAAGTAAGTTTCAGCCTGGACAAATTTAAGACTTTTTATGAAAAAAAAAACGAATAAAAAATCATCACGACCTATGTAAGAGTCTGAATTACGTTCATCGATACTTAATTATTTCCTGAAACGGACTCCAAATTGAAACCTAAACGAAAGTAATTTTATATGAATTTTCAAGAAATTGATCATGTAGCTATTGAGGGTGAAATTAACCATTCTCACTTAAATTGACCACTGTGTGAAGTTATTTACGAGAAAAGTCTGGTACCCGATTGGAATAACTTTGCTTATCGCAATGTTAACAATAACCTCCCAATACAGCCCTATTACATCCTATTTTTACTTACCATAGCCATTTTTCTCCTTTCTTTGGCACTCGACTCAGTGGAGGATCTAGACAGTTGATATGGAAATGCATCTTGCACGAGTCACACTGTATCAGCAGATGTTGATTATTTCTCAATTTACACACATCACATTTCTGCAACACCAGCAAAACCTCCTCGTCGTGGAGCGAATCTTGGGAGGCCTCGACAGTATCACTTTTATTGTTTCTAGCACCAACTACAGTCGAGCCGCTGCTCTTTTTAACAGTCTGTTGTTGACTTAACAGCTCTAAACTCGATGTACACGTAACGGGTAAAGCATATTCTAGATTTGTCATTCCTTTCAAGTTTTGGGTCGCAGATATAAGTTGTTCGACTCTTTTGTTCACGACAATTTGCATGTTGTCAACGCCGTGGTTGATTTTCCGCAACTTCTTCTCAAGGTCGTAAAGCTCGTCTTTAAGTTCTTTGTTCCGAGTGACGTTCGAAACTATTGATTTTTCTAATTCTTCAAACCTCCTTTCACGATCTAAAGACAAAAAATAGACTGTTCAGATTTCATCATTCGAATTTGAAGATCTGAAACGTAAATACAGTGCTGATTTAAAATATCCGGAAAAACAAACAAAAATGGTAATTTCACACGGGTTTTTCTCAAATTGAGTTAAGATTAGAATAAAATGATCATAGCCCACTAACAGTTGGAAAAGAGTAATGAACGCAAAGAAACTGAAAAAAACCTTTAAAGCTCTTTGAATTTGTAGAACAATTTATGATGAACACTTTTGTGTTAGAATTAACCGAATTTGAGAAAACTGGATCAATAGGCAAAACTTTAATTTCGCTGAGAAAACTGATAACTATTTTCCATTTTCGAAATTAGAAGTCGATCACGTTTTTCGTGACCTTTACAATTTTACTGTTCGATAGTGGAGTTTGCCTTCCTTTTAACAATAGAAATGCACTGAACTTACAAAGAAATCACAGGTAAAACCGCAAAAAAATTAAAATTGAGCGTGAGCAAATTTTAAGACTTTTTCCTAAAAAACAACAAACAAAAAATCAGCAAGACCTATATAAGATTCTTCACTGCGTTCATTTCGAAACTCTCAACCAAAATTTCACCCCAAAAATGGGTAATTATGGCTTTAACGCTGAACAAACCAAGTTAATTGAAGAGAAAGTTATATCGAAAGAAGCCTCTTACAAAGCACAACAAATTTCTACACAGAGGCTAAGCTGCGCTTCACAAACACTAGCGAGAAGCAGCTCTATAAAGTGCAATAAGAAAAGTAGAAATAAGCCTCGAATTAGTCAGACAAAATTCTGCTACGTCTCGGATTCGATATGCGACCTAGAGATTATGAGTCGCACGCACTACCCACTCAGCCACGGACGCTTAATAAATCACAAACACTAGCCACAAATAAAGCAGAGAATAGATGCTATGAAACCCAATGCTACAGATCGTGATTATAGCAAAGGTGCCACCAACGAAGTGAATTTGCAAATTCATTTTGATAAAAAAGAAGGTTTGTACTACTACACAAACGCTCGCAAGGTCGCTAGAGTAAAAAATTGAATGAGAGAGTTTTGGAAGTGTTTCTTTCCCGGGTTGACCAAAAATGCTAATCATATAATTTTCATATATGGAAAAATGCCAGTCATACACTTTGAAAATGCTAATAAAACCCTTTACTACAAAAAATAGCATGAAAAGTCTATGATTAGTGACTTTTCATAAATGGAAATTGTATGATTAGCATTTTTCCATAAAGCGATAAAGATTGAAAGTAAACAAACAACATAATGAAAGTAACAAAACTGTAAAATTTGGCAAACAATTTCAAAAACGATCTTTTCTAAAATTTGAATTTTTAATTAATCAGGCATGAATCAAGGCATGCAAAAACCTACCATACAAAACAAATAAGCTTGCTGAGCGTTTTTGAAAAAAGTCAAGAGAAAAGGAAAAAAATCCAGCAATGGTCTATGGAAGTCGACCCGGGCTTCTTTGACTTTGTTGGGCTGTGTAATAGGCTTCTTTTGATATAATTTTCTCATCAATTGGTACTTTCAGCGTATTTCTTGATTAATCATAAAAAGCCAAAACTACCAATTTTTGGGGTGAAATTTTGGTTGAGAATTTCGAAAAAAAAGAGTGCATTTAAATTTGGTTGAGAATTTTAAATTTAAATTGCATATGAATTCGGGTATAGTTCTAAGCAGCCTTTGTTCTCTTCACTTATTGTCTATTTGAGAAAGACGCGTTTGAATTTTCGATGTTGTTTGTTGTGTCCGATTAAATTAAATCAGCACTGTTGTCATATACAAAGATTAACTCAAGATTACGAAATAAAACTCTTTCTCAATACTTCGGCATACCTTGGAAGTAAGCCACAAAATTGACGTCAAACGCTGGCGTCAAGTACCACTTATTGGCCACATTCACATTCAGCTCCAGAGGAACTCCCTTGAATGTCTTGCCTAGGTCTTCTGCCCTCTGGGTTAGAATTCGACTCACAGCAGGCACAGTTGAAACCAGCCTCTGGTTCGGGTTCTCTGGGAACCAGGACTCTATGTTTTTTCTACTGTCCAGGTACTTTGCACTTTGCCGATCGAATCGTCGTTCAATTTTGCCCTAAAAGTAAAAATTATTCAAATGCTTGAATTATGAGCTCAAGAAGCGTTGATAACTTTATAACCCTTCTCTAGTTTAATACATTCCAGCCCATCCCAGAAAAACTAGATAACTGAAGGTTCTGCCCAGCTAAAACTGTCGAGTTATTTATCTACTTTTTTAGGATAACCCAAACCGAAGTTGAAAATTTCAATGTTAAGTCGAAGGCATTAGGGATGTTTACTGTCATTAATTAACAAAACGTACTGTCATGCAGCAAGTGAAGTTAGAGATTTGTTTCTGCAAACTCTTGTAGGCTCTCAGTCTAGACTTGATGGTGTCTGAGTCGGAATGCACTTTGCAGTAGGCGAAGAAGTTCACAGCACTTGGGTGACCAGCACCGTTTCCTCCGCCCAAAACATCTACATCATTTTGAGGCTTCGAAGTGTCCTGAAGAACAATGACTCATACTTGATAAAATCATCATTTTGCGAAATTACAAAGAGCAATTGAGAAAATAACTTACAGCTGCTTCGGCCTCCGCCAGAAACCCCATCTTTTGTCCACTGAAAATTTAAAAGCTAATTGAAATATGTTGAAATATTTAAAATGGTACAAAAGTTGGTTGTAGGTAGCGCATCGCCTGATTTTTGCATTTATTTAGATTTTTTTGATGGTTTACTCATTCACAGCAGAATTTACACAAAGAGTTAGTGATTATACAAGCAAATTACAAACCAAGAAGGATGGAAGTATGTTTTGCAGCGGCCAGCACCGCATTGGAGCGTAATGCCCGACCTTGAGAACCTCTCATCCTCACAGAACATACACTGCTTAGCACCCCAGAGCTGATATGGAATAGTCTGTAGACATGCATTTTCTAATCTGTCAGTCTCGCCAAAAGACACCTGGTGTATATAGAGGCCACACACTACATGTATCCACTTATTCACGTCTGTTCGTTTGTAGATACCCCCTATAGACGGGCAAAGTTCGCAAGGGGGAGGGGTTTTTAGTCCTGCGAGACAAACAGAGCAGAACCAAGGCTCGGTTTCGGACCCATCGCTCGATTCTGATTGGTTGTCCGAAGCCGAATCGACGTCAGGGTAATCACCGTAGCATCCTTCGTGTACTGAGACTCCACATTTGTCGCATTGGACAATGTAGTCGTCTAATTCACCTTCGGTTAGAAGACACACTGCACATAGTAGAGGTTGAGTTACAGTTGTGGAGCCAATAGCATCTATTACATTGGTAACGGACTGTTGTTGACCGAACTGAAAATATTCGTTAACTTTACTTAGGAGGTATCACTTTTAAAAAAGCCTGTAATTCAGTAGTAATTTCATTTTTTTTGTGACTTTTTCAAATTCGCAAATCATTCGACTATGGTCATCAGGACTTGATGTTATACAGGACTTTTGCTCAGAAAAAGTAGGCATTCTTCAACTTAATATTTTTTTGTTAATCCTCTCTCATTTTAGTGTTTCTTTTTTCTCTCCATTACGCTGGATTGTTTTTTGTAATCATCAAAATTTCTACGTGACAAAACAGCCTTCCATAGGACAATAAGTAACTCAATACATGAATTTCGAGGTCTATCTGCAAACAAGATGTATAAGAAGAACATAAACAACAGCCAATTGGAAAAGTTTCAATGAAATCAAGAATCAGAAAAACAATGATTGGTTTTCTTTTTAAAAATATTTAAACTTTCGAAATTTGAAAAAAACACCTTCAGGCTCTTTTTTGTCTTTTATGACTGTTTCTTTTTTATGAAGGAAACACAATTTGAGAATCTGAATTACAAGATAAAAAAGATAAAAAGAAGAAACAGAGTCAATAGTTGCATATCCCGCAAAGGTCAGATTAGATTTTCTTCTACAACATGGTATCACTGAAGAGAATACACACATCAATTACAGGTCGAATCAGCTCAAACGCGTCTTTTCCCGACAATGTTGTAGAAGAAACTATAATCTGACCTGTTCAGGATGTAAATTTCCCGGCTAAAAATAACATTTTCTTTTACTTCTGAGTGTCGATTGAAAGCAAGTTGAATTTTTTAAGTTTAAAAAGCAATTTTGTAACGTAGAAATTTGACAAACGCGAAAAAGTACGAGAGGAAAAGAAAGTCTTTGCTGCCTACTAAAAACTTTTCGAATTTGAACTTTCCGAAGCGTCGTTCTCACCTTGTCTAGAGTTTTGTCGAGGTCTTCGTCGCTACTGTCGGCAACATCGCCCAAGACCTTAAAAATATACAGGTCAGTGCATAGTTCGCAGTTACTATGATAATGCAACAGCCAAATACAAAAAAAAATGCACAGAATAATTCGAATACATATCTGCCTATTAATTTCAGCTTTGGAAAATAATTTTATAACAGGAAACCAAATTAACATTACAAAGGCTGTAAAACAATAATCCACTCTCTCCTGCCGATATATTTGATCTGATTTTGTACGGTGAAAAAACAAAAACGCATTTTTAGCCCCGGGACCTACTCAATGCAGGGTCAACCGTGGGGGAGAGGGGTTGTCATCCATTTCACCGTAGCCGGTTCCTTAAGCAAGTGCTTACTTACATTTTGAAGCTGCTCTTCGCTTTCAGATTCATCTTCATCATCTTCTTTATTGCTATCAGCAGAAGCACCTATTGAAACAGATATATCAGTACCAACATTTAAAAAGAACTTTGATCGTAATTACAAAAATCAAGCAATTTTTAAAAACCCATGATTATCAAATCCCCATTTCTTGCTCTTCAAAGCAATCTGCATTTCTTGAAATCAATCGTAGCATTGCCACAGAAGCGAAGCTGCGCTTCGCAAACACTTTACGAGAACACGACAAAAAGCAGCTTTATAAAGTGAATAAAAAAATAGAAATAAGCCTCGAATTAGAAAAACTTTGCTGGTATTGGATTCGTGCATCATCGTCCAGGGTTGGCTTGTTAATTAACACCATGTTAATTAACACTGTTTTTTAACGTTTTTTAACGTTAAAAACATCGAGATTTTAACTTTTTTAACATTTTATATTTAAACGAAGTAGTTTTTGCAATACAGCTCCAAAACATTTGCTCGGAATTGGCTTTTGTTTGTTTTCTCAGAAACGCCGAATTGATCACATGCACATCCAATCAAATAGTTGTTCGTTGCAAGCTGAGAATTATACTGCAACCAACTGAGAATTGGAGAAATAGAAATCGACTTGGTCAAGAGAAGGCTGCGAAACTCGCTTTCGTGCTACGCGCTCTCAAAAAAGAGCACTATTTTTGATAAATCACTGAATGATTTGTTTGAACTGAATTCAATTTTTAACCCTGTTTTTTAACGTTTTTTAACATTTTTAACGTTAAAAACTGTTAAAAATCTTGTGAGGGTGTTAAAAAGCCAACCCTGTCATCGTCTATTACTTTACTTGACGACTTCAGATGGATGAAAATAGTCCTGATTTAAATTACGCGGACAAAATGAATAAAACTTGAAAACTAAAGCTCATTTATCTCAAATTGGATTCACTTTAGACAATAACAGATGAAACAAATTTTGCTAAGAATTATTATCGTGCAATTTAATTTGCAAAATTCGGACCAAAATTTTCAGCCCAAAAACGGGTTAATTTGGGGCTTTTTATTCAATAAAAATTATGTCACAACTACCGGGTCAATTGCTGACAAAATTATATAAACTGTGTATAAATAAATTTACTTTTGTTTGATAGCTGTTAACTGTGTATGAATAACTTTTTTTCTTTTGATAGCTTAAAACTGTCTCGATGTAAAAATAACGAACTCTAAAAACTTTGTTGAGCTACATAAGAGGCTCACTGTGCAATATTTTTTATCAGCAGTTGATGGGTAGTTTTGGCGTCGTAGATTTTGATTGAATCAGTGAATCAGTAAGTCAAAAATGGTTCGTTTTAAGGGTAAATATTTAAAATTTTACAAAATTAATTGCACCATATTAATTCTGGTATATCCTTAAGCAGGGGCGGATCTAGGATTTTCTCGAGGGGGGCGGATTTTGAGGGGGGCGGATCGAGGGTCGACCAAATTGATTTTCCGAGCTCTCCTAAAGCACTATATTTTCCGAGCTCTCCTAAAGCACTATAAAGACCGTAGATAGACCAAACTTTCTGCGCCGCAGGCAAACTTTTGAAAAAACAGGTAAAAAAGCCGTTTTTGAACACTTTTTGAAAAAAATTTTTACAAAAAAAATCGCGTTTTTTTTTTGGCGCGCGCTCCCCCTCAAAGTTCTAAAGGCGCGCTCCCCCGCCTTTAGAAAAATTTTAGGGTCCGTCACCAAAAATGGATTTCTTAAAAATTACCAAAGGGGGACCCTTTGGGTCGGCATGGGGTCAAATGGCGTCCGTCTCTCCCCCACCCCCCCCCCCCCCCCCCCTAAATCCGCCCCTGTCCTTAAGCAAGATTGATATTAATCATTTTTTGTCTAAAGTTAACCCAATTTGTGAAAAAGCGCAATTTACTTTTCAAGTTTCGTTCGTTTTGTCCGGATAATTTAAACAAAGAGGCGAAGTGGAGCTGCGCAACACTTGCGAGACAATAACATAGCCAATCGAAGATTGGAAAAGAGTAATGAACGCAAGTAAACAGAAAAAAAACACTGACTTTGTTGAAAAAATCTCAACTTTCAAATTTCAAATACAAAAAAATAGATGCAATTTAAGCTCTTTGAATTTCTAGAACAATTTATGATGGGTACTTTTTTATATCATTAACCAACTTGAGAAAACTGGATCAATATTAAAAATTTTTATTCCGCTGAAAATCTAAAAATTAAATTCCACTTTCGAAACTAGAAACTGTTCACTTTTTTCGCGCCATTTCCACGTTTGTATTTGGAGTGCGTAGTTATTAGAGCATTTCAAGAAAGTTTTTATTGAAAAACTAAGCTGAAAAAAAATTGATCTAAAAGTCGAAAAAACTACATCTACAAAAATTTCATACCTTTGCTTTGGATGATAATAAACAGCCTTAACTTGCATTGAGAATCAATTACCGATTGGCAACTAAGGCGATAAAGGTTGGGTCGACCCTCGTGAAAACAAAGACTGCAGTAAAAAAAATCCACCTATAAAAAATTAAACCTCAAAACTTTTACGATCCATCTTTCCTGAAAAACGAACTCATTTAAAAAATTCAACCTTGAAGCTAGCCCAGACAAGTTGACCAAGCCGATATAAAATTGATAAAATATACCCAATTTAAAAAGTTTTTATTCCGCTTTCAAAACTAGAAATCGATCACGGTTTTTTCAGCCTTTGAAGCTTTCATAATTGGAGTGTGCAATTTGCTAGTCTTCTATTAAATGAACTTGAATTGACTCAAAAAAAGCACATATACTTAAGGCCATTCATAAATGCATTTATAAGTATGAATGCACTTCTCTTGTTATTTGAGCATTTTCCTGAAAAATCATCACGACTTCAAAGAATCTTAAAGAATTTAAGATTCTTTAAGGATCTTGAAGAATTTTTGAGAACAATTATTTACGGGAAAAAACCTAGTTCCCGAATACGAGTCCACTTGCTCTCTCAGAATAAATCAGCACTGTACTTGCAACCTATCGCCACCTGAAAGCTTCATCCGCAATCTAACCTTGATCATTTTTCTCATCATCACTTGACGACTCCTCTTCCTCTAGTTCCTCTTCTTGGACATGGAAGTCATCGTCATCCTCCTCATTTTCTCCTCCCACTTTTATCATACTCGGCAACACAATATTCGTCATCAGCTTCGGCTGTCTTTTCCCAGCACCTCTGGCACCTGGACACCGAAAATAGATTTTAGAGTACGTCTTAATCATTTATACGCCTTTTATATTTAAAACAAAAAAAAAACATAACATAGATACTCCTTAAAAAAAAACAATAGGCTTAGTCTATCAGAGCCGTGAAGTTGAATTAACACGGGGGCGAAGTCGAGCTTTGCCCGTTTGCGGTACAAAATAAGGACTACAGAATAAAAACTTAGCCACAGACAGTTGGATTATTGGGGTATTGTTGGGAAGGGGCTCTTAATTTAAATGTAGATTAGAGGAAATTGATATTATACTGTGCGGAAACCTGATCTATCAAGGGGGCAGACATTGGTGATTAGCTTTTTAACTTTCAAAAGAAAGAAAAAAAGAAAGAAAGAATCTCCGGTCAATCACAAACAAATACGCAGATACAAAGCGGACGTTAACTCTAATTTTTTAAAACATTTTTCAATGTTTTCGACTTCTTATGTTTGTGTTTTATGGCAAGTGAGGCGCAGCGGATATTGGTAAAACTTAATTTTAGGTAAACATGCAAAGCAAACATTTAAATACTAAATTAGCAACGGAACAAAACGAAGCGGAAAAAAGACAATAATCTTTCAGAAGGCATCAGTTTAGCTGAAAAAAAGATTTTATAAAAAATTTTTTTAGTCCATATGAATTTACAACCACACTTGCAACTAATGAAAAATTTTGTAAGTTTTTAGTCCCCCTGAAACTACAACAACACTTGCAACTAATGAAAATTACTTACAGCAAAAGCAAAGTTCATGATGTGACAACTAAGTCAAAAAAAACTTGAGCAGACAAGCGAAAGTCCGACACTTCAATTTTACCAAAAACAAATCAATTTCATAGACGAAAAAAAACAAGGTCAGGCTGGGACTCAAACCACAGACCTAAGGAAGCAAATGCGACCAAGTTAACTCTAGGCCAATTGGGAACGAGCCTGTAAGTGGTTAGGGTTCAATAATAAAACAAATAAGAAAATCAAGGAAGTAAGATTTGTAAAAAAAAGTTATTAACGGGGAAAAAAAGTATGTATGTATGTATGTATGTATGTATGTATGTATGTTATTTTTTACTATAAATGTATTACTATAAAAAAAAGAAATATAATTTTTTGAATCAATAAAACGTCCAAGTTATTTTGGTGCGCCTGACATAAAAAATAACATGCGAAAAATAGGCCACGCTTACTTCAACTAATATCATGTATCCTCGGTCTCATGTTAAAAAATAATGAAGACAAAACAACAACAAAAAACAACGAGCTTGTGGAAGGTCAACATCTGGCACCAAAATCGCAACCCTGACCTTTATGCCCAAACCACATCCCCGTTAGCATAGACAAGGAGGAAATTTACATTCAAGTATAAAACATGCAGGACGTTAAATTCTTTGAACTTCAAGAATCTTTATTGAACCTTTTGTCATGAAACTTACCTAAAAAGAAAATTGAATCAATAGACAAGTTTTTTGAATTGGTGGTTCTCGTAATTTTTACTTAAATTAGTTCAAATAAAAAATCGCAAAAAAGCAATAATCAGAAAACTGATTTAATCAATAACTCCATCAGAAGACTCCCATAACTCTATTGAATGCTTAATTTAGCATTTAATAATTACCAATTTCTGCATAACTTATCATAATAAATATCAAACATAATTTCCGAGAAAACTTTGAAATAAATACGTCTAGTGCAATTAAGACAAAACAGACCGGAGGCCAATTTGACAGAATTTCAGACCGCAACGGAAAAATCAGAAAATGCAATATCGCAAAAACGATGCTTCACCATAAAAGCAAAGCGGAACTTCACAAAACTTGCGATAGAACAAAGCGCAGCATTGCATCTAGCAAATCACATAAAAAATGAATAAATTTCAAAAAAAAATCAATTTAGAAAAACAGTCGAAAAACAAAACCAGCAGAATGAAAATAGCTTTAATTTACCATGCGACTACTAAGCCGATATACTTGGGTACACACCCGTTGAGTAAAAAACCAAAGCAATAAGGAACTGTTGTCGTCAAAAATATGCTTCGAACCAGGGGCGGATCTAGGATTTTCTCGAGTATGTATTATTTAAAAATAATTTTAAAAAGCGACCAAGCCTATAAAACACAAGCCGGTATTATTTGATGGAAAAAAATCCGAGTTGGTAAAATTGCAAGTAACAGATCGACTGCCAGTTAGAGTTAAATATGTTTAAAACATAGCCAATCGAAGATTTGAAAAGAGTAATGAACGCAAGTAAACAAAAACACACTGACTTTCTTGAAAAAATTTCGACTTTCAAATTTCAAAGACAAAAAAATAGATGCAATTTAAGCTCTTTGAATTTCTAAAGGAATTTATGGCTGGCGCTTTTTTGATAACATAAACCCAACTAGAGAAAACTGAATCAATAGGTAAAGTTTTTATTCCGCTGGAAAAAATCTAAAAATTAAATTTCACTTTCGAAACTAGGAATCGTTCGTATTTGGAGAGTGCTATTTACGTCAGTTTCAGCAGATAAACTTCAATTGACCTCAAAAAGTGCATAGTAGTTATTAGAGACTTTTCCTGCAAAAAAAACAGCAAGACCTATTTAAGAGGCTTCACTACGTTCATTACTCTAATCAGAAGAAAAATCCGTGCTTTCCAAATAGAGCAGACAAAAATAAGCAAAAAAAGTCTAGAAAAAAATCAATTTCACACATGTTCTCAAAGAAAAAACACAGGTTTTGGCCAGTATTCACCCTCCAGACATCAGGGTGCAAAGTATCGTTATTTTTATATAGCTTCATTAATAAATCAAGTTCAATTTCCTAGACTTGAATGAAAATTTGTTTACGGGAAAAACGTCTAGAACCCAATTACAAGTCCTTTGCTTTCGCAAAAGATTAAAAAAATATCAACAAAATTTCAGATAGTAATCAGCAAGCAAACAAATTCTTAAACAGCTTTTAAACCAGTTTACATAGAGTAATTAGAAAAAACAATAAGCATAAAAACAAAGTCGACTGAATTTCAGAGGATGGGAAGCAAGGTGAAAAAGAAAATATGTAGATCCGACTTTTTTTTTTCTAAATGAGCTTAGATTCAGTTATGCAGCACAATAAAAGCGCACGAAAGCTTGACTCATGCTAATTCTGCGTATGCAGTTTCTAATATGAAAAAGTCTAAGACCGGTTACAATAGCCTAGCGTGTCGCAGTGGTAACCAGTCCCTAGTTAAAACGGTAACTTACAGAAAATTGCAGTCAACTCTTTCGGCATATTATCCATTCCAATGATTGCACTTGTCTTCTCTTTTGGACAAGTTTCTATTTCTGGTTCTGTTGTTTTTGGCGCTCGAGCAGACCGGCGCAAACTCTGATCTTTTTCCACATCTGGACCAGAAGTTTGCCGAGCTCGATTGGTTCGTTTCGAAGACATTTTCGATCTGACTACTCAGGATTTACACATATTCTCAATATTCAAAACCAATTCTCCGCGAAATCATTTCTCTATTAATATATTAAGTTAACTATATGTACAGAATCTATCTTTCATCAAATCTGAAAAAAAACACGTCACTGAGTACCGGTATCACATGTAAAAAAGTTCGACAAAACTATGAAGGATTTTTGAAAATCCGCCCCCTCGAGAAAATCTTAGATCCAAGCCCGATCACTAAAGTAGTCGATTGCTGCGCACATAGCACAGCAGTTTTCAACCACTGCAAACATTGCAAAAGAAAAGACACCATTTATATTACCGTTTCATTGAATAAGGGGCAGTAGCGGATTTGGCGGCGGGGGGATGTTCGACCTCTCCTTTCCTCAAGGATTCTGCCCCCTGACTACCCTAAGATTCCCCCAAAGGTACTATTTCAAGACCTCCATTTGTGGCTGACTGACCCTAAAATTTACTCAAAACTGTCCAAAAAGTGCCTAAAAATATCTTTATGGCCTTTTTTTTTTAATTTTGCCCTCGCCGCAAAAAAAATAGGCCAAAACAGGGTCTTTTTAGTTATACTGGGTGAGGAGAAATGGGTGGTATTCAACGTTCAACGATCTAAAAACGGAATAATTGTGACAACTCGAGTTTTAAAATATCCTTTCCATTTTTTCAAAAATCACATGATTGCTGCAAGGTAAGCTCTCGTAAGACAACCATATCTTAGTTGACCTTAAATAATTAACTACCGTTCCCGATTAGGCGTCTGGCAGGTTAGCAGTTAAAATAAATTTTACTCACGAACAAAAAAAAACAAATGAAATCATTCAAATTACAAGAAAATACATTATCAGCCATTAACTGTTAAATTTACTTTAATAACAAGGATAGCCGGAATAGCACAATGTTCCGACCCTAGGCTTAAAAAATACAAAAAGGTTCTTTAATAAGGGTCGTTTTTTTTCTGGGTGGTGTGATAAAAGGCTCTGAACGAAAAACTACAATTTAGGGACTTTCGACAGTCATAGTAAAATGGGCAAATTGGACAACAACTTTTGTAAAAAAAAATGATCGAAAAAATATCGTTTAAAACTTTTTTCAAATTTTTTCGCAGAATTTTTTGAAATTTAGAAATTTTTGATTCCCCAAATTTTCGCTGACAAAAATCCACTATACAACTTAACTCGACTAAATTAAATTTTTCCCGGCTTAAATTAAGCATAAATAAACTATTGTAAGCCTGCTCGCTCGCCTTTATTCGCTCAAAATCAAACCAAAAATAAAAAATTTCAAATCAATTTTTTTATCACTGAGAAAAAATTTTTGAAATTTTAAATGTCGTTCGAATCAAAACTAAAAGGGGGTTTAACATGACATATCACTTGACCTGATTTGCGGTTCCTGATTTTGCTTGGAAAACAAAAAAAACTAGAACACACCCGATTACAAAAATCCTCCCCATTTTCAATGGTCGGAACAATAAAAAAAGAAGTTATTTAGCTAAGACAAATGCTACACGAGCTACATTACCTGACCTTGATTGCAGTATACTAAAATTACACTCTTGCTGTCTACGAACTATAACTCGTTGATCTAAGTTTTCTAAATTGTTTTTATCTTGTACGCTAATTAAAATTGTATCTCAGACCATTCTAATAGAACTGAATTTGTACCTTAGAATGGATGCATCAAGCTTCTACCCTAGAACTTCAACACTCGACAACAAAATTTGAACTTATCCTCGCTTTTCCAAGCTTCATTCCACGTTACTGTCTCAACAGTACACCGATTTTCGGCCTTGCTCGGCGAAAACTGAAGCTCATGACGGCTTCTGTTTTCATTTGGTTTTTCTGTTTCTTTATGAAAGGCAGCACTCATCTTTAAAATGCATGGTAAAAGTCGATTTAAGGAGTCTTTTACAATCGGTTTAACAACAACTTCCATTTTTAAAATCTTCACAGAGGTTGCGCTTGTTTGTGGATTATTATTGCTGAGTACAACTTGCAAAAACAAATCGTCTAAAAACACTGGTAAACCTACATTTACGGCGGTCCATTCATCGTACGTTTTGATTTGAAAAACCGTAGAAAACACAATTTGCTCGACGTTTGTTGCTACAACCGCGGAATAATTGTTGTTAATTTTCGCTATTTTGCTCGGTATTTGGTTTAAAGTTTCAGCAATTTGATCCAAATGGCTAGGTATGAGATAGCGATCATTTACAGAATGTTTCAAACTTTTGATTTCGCCATCATATTTGTCAACATCAGACCCTGTCGTTTCGATTTCTCTTTTCAGATCCGTTAATTTTCTCAATTTTTCATTCTCTATTTCGATTTTTGTCTCACAAACACTAATATGACGTTTTCTTGTAGTGCGAAGACTAGTTATATCATTTTCATATTGCTTCAGAGACGCATTGACATCTTTTAAGTAGTTTTCTAAGGACTCGATGGTATGTTTCTGATGAGACGATTGAAAGCATGTTTTGCAAGAGCATATGTTACAGCTAGAGCAGAAGAATTCAATCGGCAAGCAATGCTTGCTGCATGCTAGAGCTCTTTCAATGGTGTTCTCTTTTTTGATCGCAGAAGACTTAATGACCTCCAAAAACTCTTTGAGACCATAGAGAGGCTTTCTCAGAGAAGTTGAAAAAACAGAGGCTTTTGAGTGTGAAGACCTACACATAGGACAGACAATTGTCACTGATTTATTTAACTTTTCGATGCATTTTTTAAAACAGAATAAATGGCCACAGGGTAGAGCTCTCGGATCTGTAAGAATTTCCAAGCAAATGCCACATTGCAACTTCTCCAGCTCTCTAGTGGTAATTTCAGCCATTTTTTCTAAAGACTTGAAATCTTTGAGAGTAAGTTGAATTGCATGACCAAAAAATTACCAGCAACACTGGGGAGAGAGGGAGAGAAGAGACTTATCAATAATACAAGAAATTCAAGAAAAACTAAAAAGATATCTATGCTTCGCAATTCCGCTGGAGACATAATTAGAGACATGTAACATTCGCCCGGAAGTACATATCGACGGAAAATAAAGCTAGGTTCTAAAACGACTGGCCAACGTCTAAACAGAGCTCTACATACTTTTCACCGTCTCTACCAAGCCAGTTCTTTTGGTGGTCTTTCTAACATCGGGTCGACAAAAACGTTACTGCTTTCGGCTTCGGTCAAAACACTCAAATTAACTAGATTACATGCAGAAATAGTGAGCTCATGGCTGGGTCTCAGTATCCCCAGACCACGAGGTCACTCCTAAAATCAGGGCTACTACTATTTATTGAATTATTTTTTGTTTTTGTTCAGTAGATAAAATCATCATCTCCATCGAAGATGGATCAACCCTTTCCGCCAAATCCTAGCTTCTCATCCTAGCAAAATGAATTCAGATGTTAAATAAACTCAATTCAGGATGTGAATTCACGAATAAGTCCGAAGATTCAAGAATTAGGAGCTTAGGCTCACGAAAGTATCGATGAGGGCACTGCTGAGGTCCAGTGAATACTGTGGACCGATCAGAAAGAAGTACTACCACTATATGTCGAGAATTGTTGGGATGACGTACAAACCTTTCATCATTGAGGACATACGTGCTTGTTACTTAGACTATAAACCATTGTGACATTCGACCAGAATGGACAAAAAGGCAGACGCAGCAATTTCGAGTTTTTAGCAGCGAACCTTCCGAATTGGCGGTTTTGAGGGAATAAGAGCGTTATTCGAACGATTGGACAAATTGTGAAGGCTGAAGGATTCGGAAATTCCTAAATTTTAAAAATTCGAATTGATGACGTAACAATTCTAAGAATTGTCAAAATTGGCCATTTTAGAGAAAAAACTGAAATAAACACAGCAACATTAGTTGCGATAGCGATAACGGCAAAAATTGTGATTGGAAAACAACAATAAATTGCAAATTTAGCAGAGACCGTTCCGAGTTGCAACTATTGTGTCGCTACAATAGTTGCAAGGCCGTTGCGAACAACGGTGAAGGGTGGAAGACAGCCTTCCGGAAGGAGAATAAGAGTCTTATTTCCCCGGATTCAAGAATCCGAAGGGGTCTCGGGACTGAAACTCTGAGCACTTTATACAAATTTTTAGCTTCCCTATTATGTCCTGAGTTCAATTTATTTAACATCTGAATTCATTTTGCTAGGATGAGAAGCTAGGAGTTGGGGAAAGGGTTGATCCATCTTCGATGGAGATGATGATTTTATCTACAAAACAAAATCAAAAATAATTCAATAAATAGTAGGAGCCTTGATTTTAGGAGTGACCTCGTGGTCTGGGGATACTGAGACCCAGCCATGAGCTCACTATTTTTGCATGTAATCTAGTTAATTTGAGTGTTTTGACCAAAGCCGAAAGCAGTAACGTTTTTGTCGACCCGATGTTAGAACAACCAAAAGAACTGGCTTGGTAGAGCTCTGTTTAGACGTTGGCCAGTCGTCTTAGAACCTAGCTTTATTTTCCGTCGATACGTATCTTCCGGGCGAATGTTACATAGATGTTTTTATGGCAATCCTGGGTGTTATTCTTTTTTAACATCATGACCAGCAGAACCGTTAACGAGCACTCAGCGCCGAGCGGATGCTCACATTAACGCCCTTAATAGGCCAAAATTGCCGGGGCAGAAGGGTAGTTTGGAACGCGGAAGCCTTCCGGATTACCGTGAATAGCTTTTTAACCTAGTTCACGAACCTTGAAGGGTGAGGTGATTTGCGGTCCCGTCATCTCCTGAGTGGTCCGTGACCAAAAACACTTAAAGATACATATAAAACTAAACAAAAAGTAGTATAGTACCCAAGAAAAACAAAAAACATCAAAAAATAACCGAAAAAACCAAAAACAGTAAAAAAAAAAAGTTAAAAAAATCAGTAGAAATCATCCCCCCAGACAAGATGTGATCCGACCCCCCCGTTTGTTGTTGATAGATATATTGTTCTTACAGGCATTTATATCAGTCAGGATTGTTACAATCAAATTAGTGGCTCGTTTGTGAGGCTTGTACTGTAGGATTATTCGAGCATTTAAGCACGTTAATGATAAATTGCGCTCAATCCGGAAGGGTCTGTTGATTTGCGCTCAATCCGGAGGGGTC